CAGATATTGTCAGTTTATCTGTTTGCTCTGTTTTGAGATAAGCCTGTCAAAATCTAAAATGAGAAAGAAGAAAGTTATCATTAAAGACTTAGGCTGCAACTTGGTAGTCATCCCAAGCTCACTGTCACTCCAGCTGATTGCAGATACAATGACAGCTTTTCTCTGCTTTGTCCAGTTCTGTTAGTGCTTCCCTCCAAGAATCTCTTCAGAGGAGCAGGAGCTTACTTCTTTTCAGTTTGTCAAAAAAAATCTTTTAAAAGCAAAGGATTCTTTGTTTCCAGCAGCTAAAAGCATACTGCCTGTAACATACTGCCTGCAATGCAAAACTGGAGTTCCAAAAAGGGCTGATATAGAGCTCCTGTGCAAACAAATCCTTGACATTTCTGTAATACAAGAAGTGTTTATTTTCTACATCATGGGAAAGAAGTGGATACCTGCATACCTGTGTATTATTAATATGGTGCAGAACTGCTGCTTAGATATATCTGTCTTTCAGTAAAAAGGTTACAAAGAGACAATGTTTAAGGATGAACTGCTCTTAAGCACATTTCTATACAAGATGAGCATGTGTTACAAGGTGAAAAAAAGATGAACTACAGGTGATATTCATGAAGTATTAATTTCCTTTGTTTGTTAGTTGATAGCTCAGATTGTTGGAAGACAGGTATGGTGCAGGGTTGATAGGAGAGACTGAGGATAAAAATAGGACTGTCATTGTCTTATACAAAGAAAAAAGCATGCTACAAGAAAGAAAGGAGAAATACAGTGATGGAGATGTGGTTACTTTGTTTTGTATGCACCCTTCTCTCACAGTGATATTCAGGACTCTGTCTTTATTGCAACATCAGCAGAAGGAAAGCCAGAGAAAACTGAGATGTAGCCTAAGATAAAACCAAATTCAAGGTTATTCCATTTGGAAATAATATTGCAGATGAAAGCATGTATTGCAGTGTTATTTAAAAGATAGCAAAATTGCATTTACATCTGTATCTAACCTTTTTCTACTGCTGTTTTTCAGATAAGTGTAGAATGCTACGTTTTTAGATGACAATGTTATTAAGCATTGCACTTCATATGAGGCAGGATTCAAATACAGAACACACATCTGTGCAGGGGTAGCTAGGTTCTGAAAAGAATTCCAGTGAATAGCAGACGAAGATGCACTAACCAGTACTTTGAATTAAAAATAAAACTCAAACAAACAAAAAACCAACCCAACAACAACAAACAGAGAAAAACTATGTTTTGCATTGCTCTCTTAGTGTCTGTATGCATGCTCTGGTTATGAGTGCTGTGAGCAAGGAGAGTGACCCACCAATCCATTTTCATTAATTGATAGCCACATTATGCATATTTTTAACTAAAGGGAGTCTGAATCTGATGTGAGCAATAAATTCCTCACCAGATTGTCTATTTTTTGAAAAATCAATAAATTATAAATCAAATAAGAGAGAATTCATTCTATTAAGTATAATTAATTCCATTAAGTAATTAAGAAGCAAAGCAGAAAGGGAGGCTTGAGTGCTGGACTTGTCATTCACTGGATTTCATGTCTTTACTTACCCAATGTCACTATTCTTTCCTTGCCTTCCCTTTGAAAACACACCTGAATATCTTTTCTCTACAGGGGAAGTCACATTCAGTTAAAAAACATTAGAGTCTTCAGCCTCTATGGCCTGATGGAGACCAGATGCTCTATGCCAGCATTTAGTCTGGTGGATGAGGTGGATGGGTCACTGAACTCTTCACTGAGAAACAAAATTGGCATGTAGAGCCAGTTATGTAGAGCCAAGTTATCTAGAAAGATATCTTTATACTGTAAAATGCATTTTTCATTCTTGCCCTCCAGAAAAGGTGAGAATATGAAACATCATCACATCATTATTCTGTCCATTGGCTTTCTTCTCCATTACATGTCTTTGGGAAGCAACATGAAATAAACACAGGAAAGAATCAACACTTGTGTTCACCATGTGTAGGGTTCCTAGGGACACTTTGGAGTAGATTTGTGGTCTTGTCTGTAACATATGTTGTGAATAATCTCAAAGTTGAAGGAAGGGTCACAGTTAGGACTAAGATTTAGCAGTGGGATTATGAAACGATTTCAGTCAAACTCATAGTTCTGTTGAATTAATTTCCAAGAACTGCTGGCATTTTCTACCAGGACAGAAATAGCACACAGGTAATCCTGAAGCATGCAGGAAACCTGGAACTGAGCAATGAAATAGTCTGCCTGTGCTCCTGGGATGGGATGAGGGAGTGTTCCAGGCTGGCCAATATGCCTGGATTCATGGATTAGTCAGTTCTTATAAACAACACCCAGAAGCTGTATTGATCTGCCTCTTTCTTCCCATAAGTTTTTTTAAAGTGCTTCTTTCACTGACTTAAGTGCTTGTTTTACTGACTTTTTCTTGTTAAAACCAAAAAAGTTGATAATAACTTTTAGATTGAAATAATTCTTCTTTCTGTGGTGCTAAATAGGTAAAGAAACTCCTACATTATAAAAATAGCAGCTTTTCAAAATGTCAAATAATTGTGTAATTTCTAGCAGTAATTTTGCAGAAATATAACATACATTAATGGAAAACATTTTGCACCAAATAATATGTCTTAATATTATGCTAGAGACGTCATAAATTTAAAGGAATTATTTTGTGTCAATGTAATAGTGGTTATGACAGAAAAGAATTGGAAAGGAGATTTTTACAGAAAATGAGATAACGCTTCTTGAAGTAAGGCATGTAAAGAAGGCAATTTTATTTTAAAAGTGTTCATTTTCTGATTTCCAGACAAATAGTTGAAAAAGTCAGCATTCATTAAAGTGCTGTTAGCTAATAATGTGTTTCTCAGCTGAAGTGGAACTGTAATAACAGAGAGCTGATTAAAAAAAAAATAACACAACACACACAAAAACTTCGCCTTAGAATCATGTGGTTGAAAATGTCACTGGAAATCTGGCAAGCCAGGGGCTGCTGGGTTGCTCCACTCTAAATATTTTACAAAATGAAATTGCAGTTATGTAACAACAAACTGCATTGGCTGCTATACGCGAGACCTTCAGAACATCTGTGTTGGGCAGTGCTCCATTTCGAGATGGAGGGGCTCCTGCCTGCCAAACAGAACTGGCAAGAAAGTTGGGAATCGTCCTGACTGTGATAATCAAGAGGCATGTTAATCTTCCTTGGAAGAATGGATTAAGGTTTTACTGCATATTGTTCAAATCTGATGCTATGTGTGGAAATGTAGCATTTCATCTGTTCAGTGAGAAAAAATTACCATAGTTTTTCATTAGTAACCATGTGGTGCTCAGCTCAAACAAGTGTATTAACTTATTCAACATGTAGGAACTTGTGCTAAATAAACATAACCCTTTTCTTATCTGCCTGGTAGTGGACATTGGGCTAAATAATGAAGTTGGCCTTTCTTTGATAAAACAGAAAGACTTCAAAGCACAGATGACAAAGCTCTTGCTTGTTGGCCCTGGGGAATGTGGCAGATACAATAACACTGCCGCTTTTCCTCATTCTTCACTGTAAAATTAAATAAAAAGTAACTGAAAAAAATACCAATTATTGTTGCAAAGTGGCAGGGATGCTTGTTAATCTTCATTGACAGCAGAGTCAGTCCCCATGTTTTCCTATTCATTCACAGTTGCAAACTGAAAGAGAACAAGAAAGGTCTACGAGTCTCTCTGCAGCAAGATACAGCCTGTGTTATATGTGCATTTATGTGAATAGCTGTGCTTATTATAATTTGCTTTGATTATGGTCCTTGTGTACTTAGTTGTCTGTATAAACAATAGTCTTCTGTTTATATGTATTTTTATATTCCCTGCTTATTTCTGCTCTCACTTGTACCTGTGTAATCTCTTCTTCAGTGAACGTAAAGAAGCTTAATTGTGAACAAAAATGTAATTGTTGTTTGAGTTGAAAAGAAAAATTGTCCTTTTAAGAGAACTGTAATTGCAATAGTTTGTCATTGTGCTACATGTGCTGGAAATGAAGCAGTTTTTTATCATTTCACAGAGGTGCTACTGATGTGCTGTGGTATAATACCAAATATTAGTATGAGATGTAGCAGAATTTTCACCAGAGAACAAAATGCAAACCCAAGCAGACAGGATGAGGTTATTTTTTCCCAACCTACAGCAAGAGTGCTTTTTCTTTTACAAAATATGAAAAAAACTTTTCTGGAAAATGGGAAGACGTCTTTTATTTTTTGTTAGTTTATTTTTAAAGGAATGTTTTTTCAAGGCTGGTTTTGAGATTATATGCTTCACATTTGTACCAGTCCTTAAAGATACAAAATTTTGAAGTAGTCATATCTAGAAAAACAGCTGTAGTGGTTGGAGGTTGTTTTGCCTTGTAAATGTTCACCAATAAGCCTGTCAGCACAGACCCATTAAATGAACTTGTGAACACTTGTAGTCTGTTGCAAGCACTCAAGTAATGAGTTACTTCACCTCACTTCAGCAAAAAGCCAAGATACGATTATGAATATGTTCGGGGCAGTAATAACTTAGGTGTAATGTTTTGTTTTGGAAGTGAATGTGTGGTGGTGCCCACTGCATGATATGTATGGTCAGTGTCTTATAGCTCAACAGAAAATGTGCTTGATCTGGTTGGGAGCACTTTGAGTCTCCATAGGAAAGAACTGCACTACCTGCCTTTCCGGCTTTTATTTTATTTTATTAGTTCCCAATCATTTCTAGATTGAACAGATCAGTTAATTTTAGAACCAATGATAAGAAATGAAAGAGGGGAAGGAAAGGGATGTCTGTTGCCCTGGAAAACAAACTGTGCAGTTTAGTTATGCATGGGTAGTACTTTATATATGTTTTGAGCCATGATGCTGATAGAAAGTTTTATATTTTATTATAATACTTTGAATTATATTCTATAAAGGGTATAATGATCAGTCACTCATTACTGAGTATGTATTTAAAAAAATACCATTGAATGATAAGCGGTCATCTTTAATAACTTTTTTTTTTTTTTTAGAGCATACATATTTTGGAGCGGAAGGCTTCTTCGGGGAGCACAGACCCTTCTTTTAGCAAGCAGTTCCTTGAAACTGACCCTATCTCTCTATCCAAGGTAAGCAAAATCACAGGCTGTGGTCTAGGTGGTGTTTCCTTCTGTGGTTACAACCTAATTTGACTAAGAGCTTTGGGATATTGGTTTTTATGGTTCTGTTATTTAATACATTATGTGCCTGCCCTGGAACTTCCTGTTTACCAGCTGAGGTCTCAGAGAAGTCAGTAATCCTTAGCAGATGCTGTATTAGCAAAACAAAGGATTTGGATAGTAGTGGTTGTTTTTTCCCCCCATGAATAGCTCCCAGGACCAAGTTTTATAGTATCACAATATGGAGCTAGCAGTGTCTTTGAAAAATGTTCAGTACAATCCTCTAAAGGCAGAGCATATCATATCTAAGTCCCAAAGAACTGTTAATCAATAATGATATTAATGTAAAAAAATATAGGCCAGTCCTCCTAATGGCATTTCTTGTGGGTAGTTTCTTAAAAAAAGAAATCTGTTGCTGATAGAACTGTAGAGATGACACCACCGGTTTCTGAAAGATGCAGTGTTCAGTGCTTTGCAGTCAATGTCCTCCTGGCTGAATACCTGAGTTTTGGAATAGCTGATTCCAGATAAGTCTAATGATTCATAAAGAAGACTTAATTTTAAGATACTTCAAATAAAAAAGTAATATTGTTACTGAAAATGTGAGGATGCTGTTATGGAATACTTGTCAGGAAAGAAAAAAAATAATGTATAAGTTCTGAAACAGCATTGGGAAAACAAATCCCACATGAAAGATTCTGTTCCATTGGGTAAAATGAAATGTTTTGTTCTGTTTTGTTTGAAAAAAAAAAAAAAAAAGACAAGAAGCTTTGTATACAAAAAGACAAGGTTCAGAAAAAAAATGTTTGGTAGTGGCTTCCTTATTGCCAGAACCTGGGGCATAAGCAGAACATGATTCTGTAAGTTACGTGTGTGTTTCCTGGCCCTACAGCTCTGTGCAGAGCTGTTTTGCATATGTATTAAATTGCATAAGTCCTGAAGTAGTAGAGGTGTGCTTTGGATGAGCCAACATCAGATGGAGGCCCTTCAAGCACATCACCGTCACCTTGTTTTTCCCTTGCTTCTTGCTGTTCTTGCAGCAGAAGGGTCCATGGCATAATGTCCCTCTTACTGGGCACATTCAGACCAAACCTGGACTGCGGTGAGCCACAGTTAAGGTTGTCAGGGTGGCTTTATAGCAGCTTCTGGCACTGGTGCAGCAGAAGGCAGGTATCTGTATTGCACTGAATAATGGCTCATTTTGTCCCCCTGTATCTGGCCTTTTGTTTAAATGAATAGCTGTATGAGATTGTGTGATTTCTGGTTGAGAAGTAATCAATACTGATGTTATCTAGTAGATAAAAGACTTATGCCTGCAGCTGATCTTCTAAAAGAGAAATCAATATGGTGAGGAGTCAGTTGGCAGAGTAGTGGAGAGAGATCCTCTGCTTGCCCCAGGGGACTCGTAGTTTAATTTCCTCCCTCAAGAGCCAAGTGCTTCTTCATAGGGAAAAAATAATGCATATGTGCTTCCCTCTACAGTAATGAAAATAGAATGTCCAAGCAAAACACAGTGAAATCAAAAAGATGGTTCTTGAGCACAGTGTTTACAAGCACCATGATAGTTCCAGTTTGCAGTTATGCAGGGAAAGTTAAACTTTTTATTGAAATTTGCATATGTATTGTTTGGATTAGAGCTTTTCATCCTTGTCAGATTAGCAGCTCCTTAACGAGGTTTGTAAACGTACAGCTTGTTGTTACTTATAAAATCGTATTTCCACAATAGTAATGTTCATGTTATCAGTGCTGTGTAACTTGGAAAGTTAGGAAAGGCTGACAGTGCTTGTCTTCGGACAGGTTTGTGGAAAATAGAGGAAAACTTTTTTCTTCTTTAAAAGTTTGATGCAGGATGACCTCGTTCCTCTCCCAATAACTTTTGATAATATCACTGGAAGTTGTGGCAGTTGAGAAAATGCCAATTTACAGCTATCTAGTATTCTTATAATTTTGTTGATTGCAATAGTAGCAAGAGAATGTGAATAAAGGCATGGCTCTTTTTTCTCTTTAAAAACTTTGTTCTTTATCTGTTCATTATGGTATATCACAAGTCAGGCTCAAGTCATACAAGTCTTCATACATAATGTGGTGTGTGCAAGGAATAAGTGTTGTGTGCAAGGAATGTGCTTTAATTGGCTCTCAGAAAGGCGTACAGCTGGTTGTGTCTGAAACTATACAGTTCATATTCTTTTCTCTAGGGGGAAAATTAGCTAGCTTCCCCTATGCTTTTCTCTTAATGCAGTGAAAAGGAATGACAGGAAAATTTTTAAAAGATTAATTTCCTTTTACAGATTCCTAAAGGTGCAATTAGCCTCTGAAACTCTGTGTCATAAAATGTAATTGAAGACAAGAGCTAGGCTATGTTCAAAGCAACAACAAACCAACCTCTGCTGCTTGTTAGTCTGATTTTAAGGAAAAATCAGAGTATTTAGAATCAATGTAGATTGTACTTTAAAGATCAGAAAAGTTACACATTTTTATGATCAGGGAATACCACAAAGTGCAGACTACATATAGTCAGTAGTAAGATTTCTTCCTCATCTCATCTCATCTTATTTCATGATCCCATTATTTTTTTGAGAAGGAATACTCTAAGTAAAGGTAGATTTTTAGCATACAGATTTTGCCTGTGCTCCACTTGTAACACCTGTCCAATCCTTTTAGTTCTTACAATGCAGAGATACTCTTTGTTTTGCACTGGAGAATTTGTCCTACATATAAATGCAGTTTTATATTATGTGTACACACAGTTATTAATCAATGTGTCTTCATACTTTTTCACCAGGAACCTGACAGCTGGGAAATCATAGAGGGTCTGAAAATTGGCCAAACCAATGTCCAGAAGCCAGACAAACATGAAGGCTTCATGCTGAAAAAGAGAAAATGGCCCTTAAAAGGTTGGCACAAGGTAAAGGTCTCATAAAACGGTCAAATGATTATTACTTCATTTTGTGAGTTGGGATGTTTTGTCTAGGGGAAATAGAATGGCTGTCAAATAAATGCCCAGGATTTCAATGTATGACTTTTTCTTCAGATTGTGTAAAGAATTGGTTTGCACACAGTTTGTGGCTTCAACATTGCAGACCGTGCTGCCTAATGATATATTTAAACACTGAAAGAACATAAAAGGAGAGCTTATTTAAAAATAAAACACTAAAAGCAAACAAGCAAAAAACAATCGAATACGTAAGAACTTATGGGATAACCCACTGCTTCCACTCTTTTAAAATACGTTATGTTAATATGTTGTTTCTTAGACAAATATCTGTTTTAGGAGCTTAACAAGAGAACAAGGGGAATCTAACTTTCACAGTTCTGTAACGGAGTTTACTACTGGTGATCTGTTTTTTGTGCTGACTTTAGAGTAGTTACCAGTGAAAATACCAGTTACCAGTAAATAATTTTTACTGTAGTAAGAGCTTCACAGTTCAGCATCCCCCTTCATTCTGCCTTACATTTCATTTAGGGATTTATGCTGAACTTACGGTTCGAAACTGTGGACTTGTTAATAAGGTTTTTCCTTTTCAACTACTGCTTTGATATCCTGCAGTTTCTGTTACAATACCTTGTGCTGAGAGCATAGTGAGTTCAAGAGACAGTACTTTTAGCATGTGCTGTGCTAAAAGCTGTACCATCAAAAACTGTACCTGCTAGCAAAGCTGTACCATCATCTGTTTACTGAATGCTTTATGTCATATTCTGATGGTTCACAATGTGCTTTAGTAGCATATCAGGTATAATGTGTACAATTTTCAGATTAACTCACCATTTTCTGAGGTGCAGTATGCTTTGAAATGGAATATGAGGAAAGGTCATTGGTGTGTGGAACCTTTTTTTTTTTTTTTTTTTACCCAGTAAAAAACAAACAAACAAAAAAACAATGCTGTTATTTTGACATCTTATTCAAAAAGTTATGTCTCCAGAAAAGCACTGTTTTCTCAACATGTGTGAGATATTGGTACCATCTGTTGTGCAACTGACATAATTTCCAGAAGCATCTTCAGGAGATATTTTCTGCCATACAAGTACTGACCTTCCTCATATTGTCAACTTAATAGGATCCCATCAGGAAAACATTGTCATTCCCTACTGTGTCAGATGGCTTACAGAGCCAATTCGGGAAGAAAACCAGGAAGAAAATAAAGAAAAACACTTAACTCTTTCAGCCTATGGTGTCTTCCTTGTCAACATTAATGAATTGACTGAAAAACGAACAAAAAAAAAAAACAAACAAGCTTCCTTTTTGAGGTTTCTTAAATTAAACCTAGAATATACTGCTGGAAACAGAGAATCTACTTTTTCTTCCTTAGAAGATCACTGTCATCGTAGAACAAGAATTAAAATATGTCACTACCATATTTATATTCTTTCTAACTCATAAACACTCTTAATTGTTACAGGGTAATCATTTTCTCTAGCGGATAAATAATTGTACATAGTTTAAATTTCATCTGCTCATGAATAAAGTAAGGTGTTTTTTCTTTTTTTTTCACTTTCAGAGATTTTTTGTCCTTGATAATGGACTGTTAAAATATTCAAAGTCACCAATTGATGTAAGTAAAGTTGCATACTATTTTAAAATTTGTGTTCAAATTCAACCTGCCAGAGTGATTAAACCTCATTCTCATACTAGGCGTATTTATGACATCACACCCATGAAAGTTGTTGATGGATTCAGAGAGAGAGCTATATAAAGTGTGTGAGGTTTTGGTTGAGTTATATCCCCCCAGTTTCTGGCTTTTCTCACTTCTATGAGAATACAAGCTACATTTCTTAAAGTAATTTATTCAGTGAAGGTGCTTGAGAGATTAGCCCAACCATGTATTTTGCTTTTTCAATTTTAACGTTAGTGAGAGCTGATTATTCTGAGATATGTGGATGGGACAGAGAAGTAATACAATGTACTTGAGATATAGGGGGTAGCATTAAATTAGGTAGATTAAATACCACTAACCATCAAGCTGTAACAGCAGGGAGCTAAGAGCTGTCTAGTTTTCTCAGCTTCTCACTTACCTGTAGTTGTGTGCGGTTATGAACTAACACATTTTTCATTTGGAGTTGGGACTGCACGAAACACTTGTGAGATGTTTTTCTCATGTATAAAAACACTAAATGCTTAGTCTGATTGAGGTTTTAATTTTTATGTGGCATTATATTAAAATATTCCTAAAATGGGAAAACACATCAGCACAAAATAGTTTTTTCTTAACTGTAGTGAAGTGCATGGTACTACTAATTTCTTACCCTGCTTTTTGATTTCAGATACAGAAAGGCAAAGTACATGGGAGCATTGATGTAGGTTTATCAGTTATGTCCATCAAGAAGAAGGCTCGCAGAATAGATCTTGACACAGAAGAACATATCTATCATCTGAAGGTAAAAAATGGTGCAAATGTTTATTCTCTTTTCATCTGCAGTGAAAATAAATAATAATTAGAAAACAAACAAAAAAAAACAACAGTAAAAGATACGGGAAAAGAGTAATATTTTGAATACCTTCCTGACAGTGAGTTTCTTTCTAGGTGAAGTCCCAGGATTCATTTGATGCATGGGTTTCAAAATTACGCCATCACCGGTTGTACCGTCAGAATGAGATTGTGAGATCTCCAAGAGATGCTAGCTTCCATATATTCCCTTCAGCCTCTACTACAGAGTCTTCACCAGCTGCTAATGTATCTGATGGAAAGGTATGTAGTGTCCTTTTGTTGGAAGCTCATGCCTTCTGGGCTTGCTTAAGGGCAGTTTCAGTGGGCTCTGCTGGTAATGCCAATAGAGAAGACCTGCTGGGGGATCCAATGGCTAGCAAAAAGCTGAGAGCACACAGCTGAAAGACAGTCTAATTTATCTGTACCATAGACTTCATAAACAGGCTACTATAGAGATCCTGCAAAGAATTAAACGTCTCCAAAAAAAATTTTCTCTAGCATTTGGCATTGGAAATAAATCTATTTTTCTGTCTAAATCTGTCTAACACCATTTCATAGTGGTTAGCAAACACAGTGTGCTTCTGAGTTTGTGTTTAGTTTGTTTCTTCAATATGCTCTACAGAAACCCCTGCATCTTGGGGAAGCATATAGTCAAATCGTAGATACCACTGAAATCACAACGCCTATTTTATTTCTTTATTTGAAAGTAGTATGATGGGGATAGGGTATGACTGACTGAGCAAGACATGCAACAGCAAGTGTAAGCATTTTATTATGTCTTAGGTACAACAAAATAACTTCCCATGGCAGTCTCCTATACCTTGCAGTAACAGTCTTCCTGCAACTTGCACTACTGGTCAGAGTAAAGTAGCAGCCTGGTTGCAGGATTCAGAAGAGATGGACAGATGTGCAGAAGGTTAGTCTTTACTTTTTTTGTGCCTTACTCTTTCAGCAAAACATCTTGTTGATATAAAATAATATGTGGTCAATGAAAGTGGTTAAGTTTCATCTTTACATGCACATGAGGGAGCTCTTCAGGTACTTAGATGCTTGTGGTGGGAAATTACCTCTTTACATGTGGTGGGATGATGGTTTTTAAATTTATTTTAATAATCTATATTATCTTAATGGATATCATTGTTAAAATGCAATCAACTTTTGAGGTTTGGTCTTGTTGCTGACTCAAATAAAAATAAAAAGTGCTCAGCATCTCTGAAAATAAGGTTATTAGATGCCTTACTTAGTAGGGTTTGGGGCATTTAACTCTTATACAATACAATGCCGGTGATGGACATCATGGCAAAAAAATATGTCTGAACTGAAGCACCTAATCTATTTTTGTTTCATATATGTTAGATCTTGCTCATTGTCAGTCAAACCTTGTGGAACTCAGTAAACTTCTTCAAAATTTAGAAATACTGCAGAGAACTCAGTCAGCACCAAATTTCACAGACATGCAGGTAAATATGTTTGAGAATAAGTAATCATGTTGAAACATTTGTTCTTTGTGTTAAGGGAAGTATAAAGACATTGTTTATTAACTTAGAATGATTTTCTGAAATCATAGGAACTCTTGGATGGAAAGTTTATCTGAATTGTGTGTTAATTGTATGTAATAGTGTTTAATGTGTAAACAGATAAGGTGTATTCATTTAATGTTATTTGATTTAAATAAGATAAATCAAATGATTAAGTCATTTGCAAAAGCAGAACTATTGCAACAGAAATAGATGCATGCATTGAAATTATATTTATTGAATTGTTACCGTGCTGAGTAAGAAACTGTTTTAAGTTTTTAAGGAGTGGAAACCCAAACCCTCAAAGATGAAGCACACTGCATGTTCTAGAAAAAAGGGCATAGTCACAGAGTTCCCAAGGGGGTTGCACCATTTCCTAGTTCAGCGTGAGTTTTCCTTCTGACCACAAGAAAGCAACAGCAGATCCTAAATCCTAAATACTATTTTCCTTTTTTCACTCAGCCCCCTTGAGTACACAAATCTCCCAGTGGTGTTGCTTCATTGGAAAGTCATCCATATCTCATGTCCAATGAGATGAGGCTTACCATTGGTTTCAGGAACAGGTGAACCCTGCATTGCTTGGAGTAGTAACAGAATAGAAATATATGAGGGTTTCATAATCTGGTCCTAAATATTGTGCACTATGAAAAAGGTATACCAATAGTTTTGCTAAATAAGTTAAATACACTATTAGTTTATAGAAGTGTATGGGTAGCTACACCTGGTCACTGCTGTAGTTGCGGGCTCTGGCAGCAGCATTCTCTTCCTTACTTTCTAATTTGTCAATGTCTAACTCTACAGTTCTTTACTAACTTGGTGTACTTGTCTGTGTTGCTTGTGTCAACGTAATAGCACTTTGTCGCTTTTAACTATTTGTGTAATGTAGGCTAACTGTGTAGATATTTCAAAGAAAGACAAGCGGGTCACAAGACGGTGGAGAACAAAAAGTGTCAGCAAAGATGCAAAAATTCAACTTCAGGTACTGAATGCATAATGCTTTCTTTTTCACTGTACTTTTAGACTAATTTTTAAGCATGAAATGTTATATTAACTGAAAGTAGGAAGTCAATGTACTGTCCCTTATGGTTCTGATGATGTAAATTAAATCTCGGTTGGTTGTTTAAAACCTAGATAAAATAGTGAAAAATGTATTGATTTTACTTTCATGCATATGAAAACATTGCCATCTAGGGAGAGGAGGAGAAGCTGAACACTAGTCAATTAAGGTGCAAAAAAGGCAATATGCATGCAGCACATGGTGATACCGATGTTCCATCTTAAACTTGCCAAGAAGGGCACTTGAACAGGTGACATCAAGCTAGAAGTAGAAAGCATGAGTGAAATACTAAACATACCAGTTGTTTTTGTTAAGACCTATACTAGGAATGTTACCAATTAGAAGTATTCTCAAAAGCCCTCTCTTACGGAAAAGGCTACTATGGGAACAAATTGAGTAAACTAAAGAATAAATTTCATGAAGAAAAAAGAATTTACGTCATCCCTACTGCCTTAGAGATTAAAAGTAAAAGCACAAAAATAAGCATACGAAGTTTAGATCACTGCTCGATCCAGGATGTCTTACTGTGTTTTGCCAGAAGTCAGTGTGTGTTTTGAAGCCTAATTCAGAAAAAAATATATTTTTTTCATAACTCATCAAGTTCTAATGAAGACTACGGTCAACTGACTTCAGGAGCAAACAATCACCACAGTGCTGTCTGTTGCAGAATAAATGTCAGCAACTTCTAATCCATTTAAATTCCTTGAAATTCATGCAAACTTTGAAAGCCTTTAATATGTTCCCTGGAGACACAATAAGGACTTTTCTGTGACTCAGAGGAACAATATAGAGTACTCTGTGGCTCATTTAAGACTGACATTCTTAAGGAAAGAAGAAATTGCAGTTGTGCCAGCTTTCTGATTGCAGCTGTTTTAGGTGACTTTTCTTCTAACAGTTATACTAGATAAATGATAACAGGTTGTACAATAAAGCATCTGTTAGGCTTAAAAGGCTTTATTTGTTAGGTTTGTAAAGATTCATTTTGTAATGGAGGAATTTTGGTGATTGATGTCATACCTTATCCTCAGCATTTGAAGGATCACTGTGTTTTCCTGCTGCTGAATAATATAGGCTACTAATAAATACCAGGAAAATGGATGCAAGTACTTGGTGCCTGTGAAAAGAAAGTCAATACTGTATGTTCTTCGTTCATACCACAGTGGTCTTGGAGAAATTCATCTCCACAAATAAAAGTAAATAAATAATAATAATACGAAAAAATGATGAAAGCAGTCAATGTATGATTATCTAATGTGTTCCATGAGGAATTGCAAGTCATCCTTGTGTCACCTGCACCTTGCCAAAGTGACACCATCTTGGGCTTTCTCTGGCAGACTGTCCTTTTGGCATCTGACTCTCAAACTGCTGTTGGTGGCTTGACAGGTCTTGTGCTCCTGCTCCTGAATATCTCAAGTATGGTGACTTTGCAGATTCCCCTGAGAGAGTTTGTGTACATGGACTGCTCTGCTTGGGTTTGTCACTGCTGGGGAGAAAAAGAAATCTGCTTAACAGCAAAGTTAGGTCTTGGCAGGGATTAACTGATGGCAAGTTTAGTGGTGGAAATGTAAAGCTTATTTTATTAGAGCAAAGCATTAAATTATTGATGACTGATTTACAAATTAATTTGAATGGAAACAGAAAAAATAAAATTATTCTAAATTGCAAGTTCAAGGATGTTTACTCCTTTATGGCTGCTCTGGTATCTTAACTAGCTTTATGAGCTCGAATACGTTTCTTCTAAGGGCTGTCCTGTCCCAGGAAAGGTCTAAAGCTGTGATCTGTGCAAGATGGCCTCACTCTGACTGGTTGTGTTATTCATAATTTGCTCATGTTGCTATTAAAAAAAAAATATTGCTATTTAAAAAAGTATATTTTAAATACTTTGTACTTAACACAACTTACATAAGTTTGACTACTTTATTTTTTATGTTTTTTTACAAGTACCTATTTACCATTTAGGTATACCAGTTCTGTATATGTTTAACTTTGCTCACATAGTGACTTTGCCCCCTGACAAAAGTGGGGTCACTTCCCCAAGTAAAATTGACTATATATGTATATGACTATATATATATATGACTATATAAAACAGCATATGTGTATACTTTTGTAAGATTTGGGGTTTAGTATTTCTGAATAAACAGCTTAAATTACAGGCTTAAATTCAAAAGAAAAAATACATGTACTTGGAGTGTTTCTCTAAAGAAGGATTGCTTACATAAAGGACGTTTATTTTGTTTTTAAAGAGTCTTTTTTTAAAAATGTCTTAAGAAAATAGTCCACAACAACAGGTTAGTTGATCTGTATTCATTCATTTTACAAATGATACCTTTGTACAATAACTGACATTCTTATTACTTTGGGTAAAAGACCAATTTGTCATTCTCATGGCATTCTAGAGATCTTCAAAGGAAGTAAAAAATAAAATACTACTGAACAGTACTACTGATCAAAATGAACTATCATTGATTTGATTTCCTTCAGTGCTCCAAGATGTAAAGTTCCAAGACTGATTTAAAGGGAGGTGGAAGGAGAATATGATTAACAAAACTATTTAGCACAGAGTGACCTGAAAAGTCAGCTTGCTCTACTGAGGCTTTCAGCTCATAAACAACCAGACCCTAAGACTGGGTTGCTACCTTTTCCCTTAAATAAGTACTTACATAAATGTTACTAATCATAACTCAGATTTTTACCTCACGTTATATTGTGTTTGAGGGTAGTGGTTCTGCAGAGCTCATTGTTCTAAGTTTAGTAAAGTATACTTGCATTCCACATCTTGCAGATTTTGAGTGCTTAATATATGTATTTGCACATGATTCTCTCTCTGTACATGTATGTATAAACTCATATATGTCCCTATTAAACTGTAATATTCTTCTAAATTCTTATTCAGAGGATAGACATACTTATGTAGTACAGAGAGCTTTGTATTCTGCATATGATGCAGTATCTAATTTAATGAAGTTGGTACTCTCTGTTTCAGAGGTTTTATATGTGTTTTTAATATAACAGTTTTACGAAAAAAGGTGCAAAGCAAGGCTTCTCTTACTGCTATCATCAGAAAAACCTTCCACAGTCTGTAGCATTGCTAGTAACATCAACCAGAGGGTGGAGGGTATGGAGACTTCAGCTAATAATTGGACTATAATATTCTGTTCTTCAGCATGATGTCCATGTGTCCAGTCAATACCATTGTTATTTCCATGGTGCCCATGTAGCTTTCAGAAAAAAAAGTAAAAATGTATATAGATTCGCAAATACTGAAGTGGCTGTAGATGAAGATATAGGGGAAGAAGAATGTAAAGGAATTAAAAATTGTTTTCTATAAGAAGAAAGGTGGCTTTTCTAGTCTTCCAAATTCCTTAAATGGCTTCAAAATAGTGGCATTTTGATCAGACATAAAATAGAAGGGCTTTATGATAGGTGTGGAGCTCTTCTTCATTAGGCAGACTTGATGTACCATGTACTTGACTTTGATGTACCAAGATGAATTTTCTTAAAAGTAAAATATAAGTGAAATTAGACAGGAAAAGGACACAAGTTAGGCATGCAGAAAAGGAAGTAGTTGTTAGAATACTTAGTTTTTGTTTGCATTGCTTAATCTGAGATTTTGCATTGCTTTGGAAGCCTTGCCTTTAGTAATGTACAGAAGGAGAAATCTGATCCTATGGAAGTCAAAGATTGGTGTGTGGGAAAAATGAACAAATAAGCCCAGGGATGGACACAGAAATTCTAGAGCTGTGCACAGGAATGTTTACATAAGCAAGCTCCCTGTAACACACACCCCAAGTTTTACCATTGAGATGCATGCATCTCCAGTAAACGGAGTTCATGCACTTCCACTAATGCAAAGTGATCTCTTCCAGAATTCATTTTCTAGATGGTCAAGTGACCCCAAGAAGGAGTTTTGGTTTTGTGTTTTCTGCCATGCCATAACATCCTTTTTGTTTTCTTATTCCATAACTCTTACAGTTCTGAAATGCAGAGCTAACTTTTATGTTATTTATTTATTTATTTATTGTAGTCTTAGTGAGTGCACTGCAGTCCACACCTTATGGGGATAATTTTAGCAAAGTACCTAGCTATATAAGTCTCTGGCATACACAGGTGAGAACATGCTGTATGTTCTCAGAATGTGTAGGCCATACAAGTTAACAAAATTGAAATCCACTTAAAGACTTTCCCTCTCCCTTTTCTGATCACCTTTCATCTTCCTGTGTCCCATCACCCCTTCCCTTCTCTTTCTCTACTTCCTTCTCTTCTCGCATTCACTGTCAGGAAGGGCCGGCACCGAAGGGCCAGTTCAGCACAACACGACGCCGGCAGAGACTAGCAGCTGCAGTGGCTACAACAGTGAGTGGATTTAAAAATCAAAGGATAGCTCTAAAGATGGGAAGCTGTGTAACTTGAATGTGTAATAAGTTTATGAAGATGTATCGTACGCTTTATGGAGGTGTCCATGCTACCCACTCAGCTGAGTCATGTAGAAGTGGTCAGGCCTGACACAACTGAACTTCACAGATGTGGATCTGAGCTTGTTTTTGTGGTACATGTCCCTCCTCCCTTAGGCAAGTGCAGGTGGTGATTAGACTCAGGCCCTGCACTGTTTGAACATAGTTTTGATATACTCTCTCTTTATTATTTAAAATGGAAAGAAATTATCAAATTCAGTAAAAGATTCTTGTGACAGTCCATAGCAAGACAGCGGAACCAAGGAGATTTGCTACAAACATGAAATCATGAAATTCCTTGATTTTTTAATTATTTTTTTTTAGTAATACAAGGTTAGCCTTTCCATTTAAGACACTTTCTGTTTGCATTCCATTATCCCAAAAAGTCATATTACTACCACTAGTGTCTGTATTTCATTTTGCTACTTCTCCCAGTCTTTGAAACAAAATTTGGAGCTCTAAAATCAACTTGGGGGCTTCTAATTGAGAGGGGAGATGCTATTTGTGAAATCAAATTAGCATCATAAGTATATCTTCAGCTTCTGCCTTGTCAGGAAAAAATTATTGGGAATGCACAATGCAGACATTAGGCTAGTCCCTTAGCTGATTAGTGCAACAGCTAGATAGGGAAGACAAAAACAAATAAGAAAAAAGAACTCTGCGTAACTAAAGAATAAAGTGAGCTTTAAACAGAAACCCTTACTGAGATCAAGCAGTGAACATCAAGCTAAAGTTTTCGAGAGTCTGCAGCTTTAGCCCATAGCTAAAATCTGCTAGATCAGACACACCTTCTGCTTAAGCCCAGCTGCATGAACCACAAACCTCATTTACTCTTAGGTCCTCATAAAAAATATGAGAGAAGTCAGTGCTACTCCAGTTCCCAAATTAACTCATCTAAATTTAATCTCCTGTAATCAGTTGATGCTGGGTGTTGGGTGTCAATGGGAGGCTCGACCAGAATGTTCAGTAGGAGTTAAACAGCCTGGACAAGGGCTGTGCCAAGGAGTGCTCAGGTGGACCAAATACAGCTGGTCCTGGACTGCAAGGCAGCCAGCATTGAAAAGGGGTGGTAGATGTCCAGGAGATTGCTGAGTTGTCACCTGCAGCTGATGTGAGGAGCTGAGGACAGAGGTCTTGGAAGAGCTAGAAAAAGTGCAGGAGGGAGGAAAGCTGGAGGCACCAAAATAACTCCTGTACCACTGGTTCCTGTACCACACTACCAAGAACAGTCTGTTCCTACATGGGTATCTAATTCTGAAGAGGCTGATGGATGAGTGGGTATTTCAACCTCTGGAGTAAAGCAGAAAGTCAGGACAAGGTACACCTGCGGTTATGTCTAGAAGAGTGAGGAGGAAAAAAAAAAGAGGGATGTCTCAAGGAGTTAAATATTTTAAAAACAGAAAAAAAATGAAAAAGTACTCAAGGCAGTATGAAGTCACCATAAAAGAAAGCGCATCAGTGAAAGGAAATGGGAAGATTCATATCAGTCAACAGTGAAGAATTTCTGTTTCTTGTATCTAAAGCGATCAGCAAAACAGCTCCTTGTCTCTGTCATGTAAATGTACATTTCTTGTGAACAGTGTGACAATATTTGGAGAACATGTTCTTTTTTCCACAAACCTGCAGGAATATTGCTTTTCAGCCTGGCGAGCTGAGGTACAAGGCAGAAGTGATGACTTTAGAGCAGGTCTCTTCAGCCAGATTCATCAAGAAGTGTCCAAAGAAACCCCCACGTGCAGGCAGCAGGGCCACAGATCTTCCAGTCTGCACGGGGCTGGGACAGCCTGCCCTGTCACCGTGGGCATGCAGAGCTGCGGGGCTCCCTCCAGCTCCTGTGTTATAACAGGGCAGCTTGCTTTCCTGTCTTCAGGATGGGTTTGAGGACCGGGAACATGTTCCCCACACAGTGCTATGCTGTAGCCACCTACCTTGCTGTCCTAGAGCTGCCTGGAGCAACTAGACCTTTGCAGTGCGCCCAGGCAGAAAGTTCTGGAAATGTATTCTTTCATGTAAGAAGAGAAAAGGTTTTGTAAAGGAAACAAAATTAAGCTGTGTAAAAAATATAAGGAAGTTTGGCTGCTTAGAGAGGCAGTCTGGTACTGGCAAAGAAGATAATGGAACAAATGTCCAGCATGCATGGAAGGAATTTATTCTATATCTCTTGTTAATAAAGCCTTCTTGATATGAGTCAAAAACTATGTCTAATGAAAAATAACTGCTTTGTTGGTATAGTTAGAAATCAAAACACATGAGAGAAGAGGACAAAGCTGACACTGGATAGGTGTCATAGGGCCATTAGTTTGTGCTGTACATACCTGTAAGTTGAAGAGCAGGGTGGAAATTGGCATTTTGCAGAAAGTGCTCCAGGTTCAAGTGGGATATGATGACTAGGTCCAATAGGATTTTGAGAGTTTCATCAGAGAATAAGAAACCTAAAATATATGTTGATGGCAATTGTTATGGGAAGGAATTTATAGAACCATTCTCTGATCTAATCAAATAACAAGGTACCAATTTCAAATACTGATGGCAGTATATAGCTTTTCTGTTGATAAAAAAAAATAATCTTAGTAATATGACTTTTTATATTATATGCCACTTTTATCATGCCTCAGAAGACACACTTTATTTTTTGTCCCCATTTTTCATATTTGAATAATTACATTGGGCTGCAGTGTGGAAATTATTTATACATTTGATGAATATCATAAAATACATTGGATGTTGACTGTAGAATGTGTTGAATATGGTTAAAAGTGCTTAATATTGAAGTAAGAAAATGTAGTTCTGCATGCCTTCCCTTTACATTTAGACTTGAAAATTAGGTTCTCGGCCTGTTTTTTATACAAATGTATGTAAATGGTGAAATTAAAATAAAACATATACTCTCACACACACCACAGATGTACACAGCAGTATCCATACACTGCATATGGAGCATACAGGTAACCGTTCAGTACATATGATACATTTATATATATTACTTATAAGTAAGGTATGCACGCATATATATATTGCTGTACATAAAAACTGTAGAAGGAAAAAGAGAAGTTGAAATTATAATCTAAAATGTTTGCTGCATTTTACTAAACTGCATCTCTTTGCATTAATTTATGGCTTATACATTTTAAATGAAAGTCAGATGGAGTTTTGATTTATTTTTTGTTTGTTTCATTAGAAAGAATATAGAAAGTCTTTAATAATATATTTGAGAATATTGTGTCCTATTTCTAGATCTGTGGAGGAACTTGCATACTTCAGATGTTGGTATTGTAAAGACAGATTCATACGATATGGAGTCTCAAATGCCAAAATATAAAGCAGCATGTTTGGTGGTTCAATTTTCCAATCTTCTTTTTAAGCACTAGGAGATGGTCCATTTTTCTAAATGTTAGAATTTAAATACTCCACTGTTAGCAGTTAGCTCTGTATTTAGGCTTTCTTTTGTCTATTTCAGTGAAAATTTTCAAGACGTACAAGGAATTCTATGTCAACTGTACTGAGATTTTGGACAGTAAAAAGTTAAATGTTTTTTCTTACTATGTTCTTCACATTGTGAATCATGTATTTTGTTTTCAGAAGGAATTTATATTTTGCTTCAACAGAATCAAATGGTTGTTTGCACCTTAAACTATATTTATTTACTGTTTCTCTCTGTAGGTCCCTTTCAGTGCTACGATGTCCCCTGTTCGGCTGCATTCATCCAATCCAAACCTTTGTGCAGACATCGAGTTTCAGACTCCCCCAAGCCATGTAACAGACCCTCTGGAGTGCTCTACCGAGTACATGAAGCTTCAAGAAGAATTCTGCCTGATGGCTCAAAAAGGTAACTGAAAATGTCAAGCCTTTCCTTCACTATGCTTCTCTGTTGTGTTTCATTGTTTCCTTCACTTAGTTATGACCAAGACATTCATCTGTATTAGATGATACTGTATGAGAATTTTTAGCTGGACACGTGGCTTACATAAAGACGACGTGTTGTCCTTAATATATTTTCCATGGATGTTGTGAATATGGAGATAGGTAAAGTCTGTCTGATAAGGGATATATATATATTTTTTTTAGAAAACTTAAAAAAAAATTCTTTTCCATATGCTCAGCATCAAGAATATGCTCAGATGACATATGTGAACATATTGTATGCACATTACAACCTGTAAGCTGTAAGTGTTTGTACTTAATTTGGGCACAGATTACTGGAAGTTCAGCTCTTTGTTACGAATTTATGTAACTGTGGGATGGAAATCTCACTCTCTGTCTTTATTGCTGAAATATTTTAGTAAATGTAAATGTCCAGATCCTTTGCTGAGACAACACTTGTTTTCTTTTTTTTTTTTTTTTTTTTTTTTCATTTTTCTTTAGTGCATTCTCTTTTGAAGTCTGCCTTTAACAGCATAGCTATAGAGAAGGAGAAGCTTAAGCAGATTGTTTCAGAACAGGATCTTACAGGTCACAATGCTCAAATAGCACACCTCAGACAGTCCCTCTCTCAGGTATGTTCTTGATTTGATTCCAGGCACATCTAATTTGCCAAATGCACTATTTCTTTTGTATTTTGGCCATTCCCTGAGGTAAAGGGCGCCAAGAAAATAGCCAGGTTCTTAACCAGAACTATGGCATATGTTCTGTTATGGACATGAGAACATAAGCCTAACCTCAGTGCATGTGGAGAATATCATTTGCTTGTGTAAGCATGCATGTATTATGGTTTTCCAAGGTAAAGTAAGGGTATCAAAGATTTTTATGCAAATGATATATATTTTTATTGGAGCTATTTCCACCACAGTCAAGGAGATAGTCTCATTTTCTTAAGTTTTACATTTTGAGTGTATATTTTCTGATTTGTTTTGTATGTCCATGTCTCCAACTGCAAAAGGAATCATGGGTTATTACACGATGACAGAATAATCATGAATAAAGTGGACTTTCAGATACTAACTTGTTACTGGCTGGTGTCTCTCCCGCTTAAGCCAAAAGGAAAATTGTCATTGGCTTTAGTTGGGAAGAACAGATGAAGCAACAGTAAGTGCTCTGGTGAGCTCCTACCCTACACCATTCCATGAGATGCATCTTTGGGTTGCAAAATAACTCGAACATTTGATTTCATAGACAAGGAAAAGAGAAAGATTTTACTATAAAAAGTGGATTTCTTTGGAACTTTGCATCTGCAAGAAATGAAAGCAGAGACTTAAAGGCAAACAGAACTTCACCTAAATGTGAAGAAAATTTCCAACACTATTATTGTTACTGTGGTTGTTTCTTTTATTGCTGTGAGATTAAAATTGATGCATAATGTTTCTGTAGACATAGGTGTGTAACATATTATGCAGCTTGATTGCTGTATATTGTAATAAAGGTGAGGGTAACCATTTCTGGTTATTGATAAAAATTTAACGAGGACCTGTCGAGACTCACTAGTAACTTGTATAAAATAGGTGGTCATGTTCTTATAGTTCCTGGCCTCCAGTGTTAATTTAAAAATCATTTTCAAATATATTTAGTTGTCTCAATGGTGAATAAGTGGAAATTTAGCACAGTCAGACAGATGGGTTCAACCAGTCTTGTGACCAGATTTGAGAAGTTTAAGACACTACAGCCCAGCTGTTGTTAGTGGTCTAGCCATGTGTCTGTTCGCCTGGTAGATGACAGCTATGAACGTACCCAGATCATTTCAGAACAAAGCAAAATGGCATAATTTAAAATGTTTTCAGAGAAAGTTTAAGCTAACCTATTTTACTTTGGTCCTACTTTGTTTCAGTGCAATCATGGGACCTATTTCAGAGTTTGCTCTTGGAGGAGGGAGGAGCAGATTATTACTGTATTATTTACTGTGTTTATTACAGTAAATAGATTATTACAGTATTATTATTACTGTCCACTAAATCAGTATGTCTGTCTGCTGTTTGCTTCTATGATCCCAAGCACTGAGGGTATATTAGGTTTAAGTCAATTCATGTTCTGGGTAACACATTGTATTTTTCTGGATTTCAACAAACAGGTGCTTCTAGACATCAGGTCATGTGTATGTGCACCCAAATGTATTATCTAGCTTGGGCTTTAACAAAGGAGAAAAAATAGCAGATACCAAATGGTTCAGTAATTTGAATTGGACACATACATGCAAATTTATCAGCTTGATCTCAATAGACAGGCACCTAGTGATGCTAGTGGTTATGTTTTTTTTAATTATTATTTTTATTTTTCCCCACTGGAAAGCAAGCCATTTCCTTTTGTGGGCTCTTAGCATTGATAACATTCGTTCAGAAAGTGCTGTAGAGTTGTAAATCAAGAATTTTGCCAGTGGTTCCTGTTAGCTGTTTTGCAGTTTCATTCTTTCTTGCTGCATTCACTCTCCATTTCTGTAATGTACATAACACACTGGTATAGCTGCCAAGGAGCTATCTGAAGAATCAAGGTAGAATGCAACTGTAATATTAGGGGAGAATATCTGTTCCCCTTGACCCTGGAAGATTACTGAAAACAAGCCAACGAAAAAGTTAAGCCATATTAGAGAGGATCTCAAAATGGGTATTTATCTATAAACGGAAGAAAGGAAGTTCTGTGATTTCTTAGGAAATTTCTGAGAATAACCTTTTTTTCTTTTTTTTTTTTCTTTTCCTTTTTTTCCTGTTTAACACTGGCTTTTTAATTTTAAATGAAATGTGCAATTTTTATTTTAAGGCTCTCAACCAGAATGCTGAACTAAGGAGTCGCTTGAACAGAATACATTCAGAATCTGTTATTTGTGATCAGGTTGTCAGTGTAAATATTATCCCTAGTCCTGATGAGGTAAGATTTCAGCCTTTAATGGATTTAGAGTACAATCAAACCTTGCTAATTCTCACTCATAGTGAAACACACCTAGCAAATTATCAAATCTTAAAGATCAGAAAGTAGATTTTTATAGAAATTTTCTGATTTTATTTTTTCTATACAAAATTAAACTTCTGTCTTTTGTGTATGTCAAAGCTAACAAAATAACTCTGGCCTCTGCAGAGAAATAGGGAAGTACTGCAACTATGAAATATTAATTCTTGAGTGTGGGAATTAGTGAGGTTATACTGTATTTGAATGTAGCACACAATAACACACAGTAGGTAACCACTTCTGTATCTTAGTTTCTTGCCAAATCAACAGAACAGTGTAGCATTTAATAGCCTGATCTTGCAAGTGCTTAAGGGCTTGCTTGATGTTTAATTTCTTAAGTGGCATTCAAACAGTTCAGTCTATGAAGCAAGCACTATATTAATAGCACATTTGCAACATATAGTCTATCTTGTTTTGCTTTCTTGAGTAAACAGATTACCAAACATTTATATTAATTACAAATCAGTCTCCCTCACAAGAAGGACAGATCTGAATTTGTGAGTTGTATGTTGCAATTAATAAGTACTGTCATTTTGACAACCATTCTGCTTGCATTTTACCAAAATACTTTACATTTGTCATTTCCACTCATTATTTTCTATGCATACATTGTTCCAATTAACATAATGTTGTCTCCTAATAATTTTTTCCAACAAGAAAGGCAGGTGAAAATCTGTTTCTGGTTACTTTTGTTTATTGGATTTTTGAAAATGTCCATACAATTTTTCCAAAAGCCCAGATGTTGGACACTGGTAACAGAAGATAGAGGTGATGCAGTGCCACAGCACAGCAACATGTGTTCAGAATATCTGACAGTGAGGATCTGAGCAATGACCATCTCTTCTTTCGTATTTGTTGTTGGTTAGCTGTTTCCTTTTATTATATTCATAGTTATCTTGGTACAAGTTTATCTGACTGAAGGAGTATTTCAAAGAGGATCCCAGGTCTCCCTCTCACCTCTCTTGATTGTTTTATAAATATAATGTTACAGTTTGTTGATATATGCATGAGCAAGCATCCTTTTCAGGTAGGGGCATGTGTATTTTTCCTAGTCCCTCCAGCTTGTACAAAAAAATAAAATTTTAATCACTTCTGTAAAGGTAATACTGAAATGAGCTGCTGTTTCCATTATAATTCATCAAAAATTGAAACCTATCCACAAGCCCAAGTAAAACCCCAGGGAAAAATGAAAGTTTTTTGACCTCTTGGCTTATTTGTGATTTTCTTATTGTTAGTTCATTTTGAGGCAACTATATAGAAACAAGATTAAGATGTCAACAAAATCACTTGCAGGATTTCTGTAGTAAGATGAATGTGAGTGGCATTCCCATCTGAAGAATAATGGTGTTTAAAAGGGCTTCAGTAGTTTTGTCTGTATTATCCCTGAAGCATTATGCTGTATAAATTGGGGGATTAAGTCAGAAGCCTGTTTGCTTCCAGAGCTGCAGCTACTTTGGTGGAACGGTAAAGGGAGAGAATCTTAATTTTTTTTTTTCTCCCTTCTTAAAGCTTGTTGGGTAACTTTTTGAAAGGTGGTGTTCTTCCCATAAATAGCAAGAAGAGGAAGATATGTCAAGCTATTTAAATTAGCTTGTCCCCATATTCACATACACGTCACAGTTTGGGATTTCTTACCTTTGCTGTTAAATTCCCTTTATAATAAGCCATAAAGTATACATTCCCACTAGTAGTAGTAAGTCAGAACAAATTGATTAATTCAGATGAAATTTGGAATACAAATATGGAATAAAGGCAAATAAATGTTTATTATAGCTATCCTCTTGAATATTCAAACTTTTCAAACATTACTGAACTGGTTAGCAAGGCCATTTATTTTGAGAGTAATTTATAACTTCCTGGTCTTTCTGGTTTTTGGTTGTATCAAGCCTAGGTCCCAATAATATTAATTGTAACAATGAGGTGTCTTTTTCATCTGAATTTTGTGGTTGAACTTGTCTGACACAGTCCAGTTATTGTCCACAAAATCACTCCTCTGGATACAGAACTAGCTCTGTGATTACTCATGCTGCTAAAGCTTAGCAGTTGATGCTGAGCGGGCCTCAAATGAAGACATGTATGTCACTGCTCAGATAACACTTCATTTTGTACTTGTTTGAGTTTCACGTTTGGTACACAAAAATTCTGCTAAAATGCTGTCTTTATTATATTTGACATAGAAAAATATTCAGATGATTTACTCCTTTTTTACATATTTCTTTATTATTATTGTAAATAATACTTTTATTTTTCTGTGCTTTATTTGCAGACAGGTGAACAAATTCATGTCAGTTTGCCATTGTCCCAGCAAGTTTCTAATGAGAGCAGGCTCTCTATGTCTGAATCAGTGTCAGAGTTCTTTGATGCACAGGAGGTGCTTCTGTCTGCCAGCTCATCAGAAAATGAGGTAGGCTATGATGGCACGCTGCAGCTTTGCTGTCAGATGGATTCAGGTATTGCTGCCTCTAGTGGATGATTATTTTTAATGCTGCTTAGCGTAAAAAAGTGTCAGAACGCATAAGATGTAGATAAATTCACATGAGACTCACTCACGATGGGCTGCAGAGGTTTCCTGAAGTATAAAACTGAGCTGAAAGTTGTATAATTACCGTGTTCAGTACATGTCCTTGATAGACTATGGCAGTTTCAGATATGGACGACAGAGAGGACCAAATAGGTCTGTCTATGCAGATTTTTATTTTAAAATACTCATTAAAAACAAAGAAAAAGTATTCTATCATACATATAAGGTTATTCTGTGTAATCAGAGAAGTAGACAAGCATAAAAAACTGCCTCATTGAAGCTCAAAGGGGAAACAGTTGGATACTTTGGAGCCCTCTGTCACATGGGTGTCCCCACCTTTCCCATGCAATTTATCTTGTTAAGTGACCTGGTATATTGTGGGTCGGCACTTCAGCATCCTATCAGTTGTGCATCAGACAAGCGGAGATTACCAATTTGTCTTTTCTGTTGTTCATACTTAACTGTTTTCTCTATGTGTGTTTTGGAAAATCATCTGTGATTAATTATAATTAATTCTAAGAAAGCTGTTTACAAAACTGCTAAACTCAATCACAAACTACCATGATTCTAAATAAAATGATTGTCTGCAGAGCAGACTGTTATAATTTGCTTCCACCTTCATTAAGAGCATTGATCTCTTTAACTTGCTATCTGATGAGCTCTGTCAAAATTTCATGGGTTTAGAGTTTCTCAAGCTTTATTTTTCTAAGCATGCAAACTAAAAGCAAGCCATAGTTTCAGACAGTGGAGAACATCCTGTTTCTAAATTGTCACTGTCCAGTGTGTGTTTTTTTTTTAGGAACAAATGGCTTTTTTTTTTTTTTTTTGTCCTGAAAATCCAGTTTCATGTTACAAATTGCCAGTTCAACTGGCTTGTGACCATAGCAGTTTCATGCAGAAAAAGAGTTTTCCAAAAGGGTGGGTTTGTCCAGAGCTGCTGCCTTATAATGGGAAACAATTACAGTGTTGAATTCTTTTATGTTAAATTGAGAGTGCTGTTGCCTGTTGTCAGGGTGTCTACCTGAAGCTGACAGTTTTAGTTTCAATTTCAGCCTCAGCCATAGCTTGCTCTCATAGCACAGAGAGGAGCCTGTGGCATTAGAAGTAAGCAATGTGAAGCAGTGTTGACAGAAACAGGATAGGGAAGAGATATATTCAAGGCTGAAAGCAGTTGAGAGTAAAAGTGTCATTTCAAAAATAAACAAAATGGGAACATTCTCAGTCCTTCCAGATTATGGAAAATCCAGAGTTTTCCCTTTTGACAAAGAGTATAAGTATCTAGAAAGTAAAGTGTGCAAAAGTCTTCTATACTTTTTTTGTTGCTTGTGTCAAGATGATGATAAGGTGCTAAACTCTTCAGGAAAGACAGAAAAGAGTGGTTTATTTTCCTTAGCTATACAATTGTGCTGCCCTTCTAAAGCAAATTTTAAAATGAGCAATTTCATCCAATTTTGGGCTTGTGATAAACTATTATTTTTTTTCTCAATATCAGTTTCTCTGGATTGCAGTAGAAGCCTTTGATTCCCCAAAACTAGATTCTGTTTTTGGCTCACTTCAGCTAATCTGAATGGCAGGCACTCCATCAGACTCCAATAAAACTTTTTTTCTTAAACTGAAAATCCTTTCTTTTACAATTAAATTTGTCTAATAAATGTAAAAGAATAAGTCATTTATAGAGTTTGAGAGCTCGGGCTTCTCATATGTTTAAAAAAAATCTTAAAAGTAGTCTTAATGCTAATGTAGTTCTTGTTTTGCAAAATGATAGGTCAATGTCTATGTATTTTTTTGCTGACATACAAGCTACATTTTAATGTTGGATTCTGTATAAAGACCAGGAGCCTGACTGTCTCTTCTCACCTCCAACCCCAGTGTGTTGTATTGTCAATTTTTTGTTGATCCATGATCTCATTTGAAGTCACCCTTTTGCAAATTTAATGCCTACATTTGGCTTCATAATAGCAATTCAAAAACATAAGGAGAGCATAGCATTTGTTTTGACAATGTTAGCAAATTGGCAGTATGGACTGATTGAAACATCTAGTTGATTTAGTTAAAATATATCTAATTGGGTACAGATGATTTCTTTGAGTATTTGTGTTTCAAGTAATTATTTTTGTCTAATTTGTCAGTATGCTTTATATATACTTGACTTAATTGATATTTTATTTTTTAGGCTTCTGATGATGAATCTTATATCAGCGATGTGAGTGATAATATATCAGAGGACAACACCAGTGTTGCAGACAACATTTCTCGGCAAAGTATATTGCTATGTTTTGAACTTCGGGAAATAATGTTGGTTTTGTTCATATACCAGACTTAACTGCTTCTCTATACAAGACCAACTCTGCTGCTTGCTTGTTCTGGTGGTGAATTTGGTTCAAGGAATAAATCTTTTTTTCTTAAGGTGGTGCTTTGTTGTGATAACATTTTTTTCTATTCTCAGTTCTCAATGGTGAGCTAACAGGAGGTGCATTCAGGAATGGACGGCGAACTTGTCTCCCAGCTCCCAGTCCTGACACCAGTAACATCAATCTGTGGAATATTTTGAGAAATAACATTGGCAAAGATCTTTCCAAAGTATCCATGCCAGTTGAGCTAAATGAACCTCTGAATACCTTGCAACACCTCTGTGAAGAACTGGAATACAGTGAACTCCTGGATAAGGCTGCAGAAACAGATGATCCTTATGAACGCATGGTAATAAATTTAGCGTAGCACTTCTTATGCCTATATTAAAAAGGGAGCTGTTGTGTGGAGGTCTGTGCAGAGTCCTCTCTCACTCTACCTGTTCACAGAAAATGTGTGATACCCTACAGTGATGGTACATGCACAGGAATCTTTGCCTATTTTATCTTATATTCTTGTCTGCATTTCAACAGGTTCTCATAGCTGCTTTTGCAGCGTCAGGTTATGCCTCTACATACTTTAGAGCGGGAAGCAAGCCATTTAACCCAGTGCTCGGTGAAACTTATGAATGTATTAGAGAAGACAAAGGATTTCGATTTTTCTCAGAGCAGGTGAGGCTTATTTCTAGATGGACACCGATGGTAAAGTTTACACTTTGGTTTCTTTGTTTAGTAGATTGACCTTGTTTTTATTTTCTGGTTAAAAAAGGTTTATTTTCTTGATAGTAAAAAAAAAAAAAAAAGGTGGTAAGTATGAGTGAACCTCATTAAATACTGGAAGGTATGTTTTCATATTAATCACTGTAGTAGTGTTGATTTAAGTACATAGTGTAAAACTGAAGCATAAGTTTCATCTGTTTTCGTAGCAACATAAGCTAATAGATAGTGTGGGCTATTTAATATTGTTATATTGCAGTAATAGTTGTTTTGTCTTAGAAATGAAAATTAATTGCTTTTAACTCAGCCAAACTGTTTTTCAGGTTAGCCACCATCCTCCCATTTCGGCCTGTCACTGTGAATCGAAGAACTTTGTGTTTTGGCAAGGTATACCTTTTTAATTCAAAAGCATAAAACCTGTTTTATTAGCACATAAAAACTCTGTCTGTACAAGCTGAGCTTTTGTTTGGAACTTACCCCAAATTTTTATACTTACAATTTTTGTAGTAACATGTTACAAACTGATGCTCTGAATTACTTCACTCCAAATTCTCAATTTGAAGAGTGAGTAGATGTGTTACAACTTTCCTTGTCACTTGCAGTCTGTTTATACTTTTCCGCTTAAAAGATTTTTACCAAGAAAATTGTTATTTCTTATAAACACAAGCAGTTCTTTTTACACAGTTGAACAAGCAGCTGTTTCTTTTCTTGTCTCTACTGGCATTTGCATTTAATTTATATGGAACGCTCTCATGAGAGATTTGACAGGAATGTAACACAGGCATAACTCCTAGAAGAAAATCAAAATTCTCTTTTTTTTTTTTTTCTGACCTCATGCCATTTTCTAGGTTGTTTTATATTTATTTATTTATTTGTATTTTCATGAGAACCTCATACTGTCCTGTTTTAAACTGGATGGTGTAGTATAAATCATCTCATCTACCACAGATCACTACTAATGGAAGACTTTGGTCTTCTTGGTTTTGTAAATCTTTCACTATCTTTCACTATTATATTCAGATATCAGGTGGAAAAACAAGTTTTGGGGAAAATCAATGGAAATTCTGCCAGTTGGAACTTTGAATGTGACACTTCCAAAGTAAGCTCGTTTTTATTTCCTTTTGGTTTGGTCTTTGATGTAGTCTAATCTAAGCTGCTTTGTGACTGGATTGGGTAAAGTGTATGCAGAGATTGCATGAATTGTATGGGTGACAGCGGCTAGCTCAAATTTCTCCCGAGTCTGCAGATGGAGATACGGAAGCATTGCTATGCCTGAAGATTTATTTGGGTTTTGGGAGGAAAAATGTTCATGTATGAACTCTCTAGAAACTGACAGACAGAGGAGAATGGAAATGTTTTAGGAGAGAAAACACAAGTTCTACACATACAGTAGTGATCAACTGTTCAAAACAAGGCTTCAATATAGGACTGTCAGCAGCTAGCACTGTCCTTACTAAAGCTCTCAGTAGTGCTGTTTCCTCAGAAGAACTGATAATGCAACGTCGTTTTTCAAAATGTCAAAGCCCAAAAATGTTCTTCAGATGTTGACTGAGTAGTGAGAGGAAGAAGTTTCAATACAAACAAAGCTGGTTGTAAGTCAAAAATATGCAAGGAGAGGATATTTTAAGTACATCTGCAGGTTTTGCAGTACTATTCCTGCTCCTATATGTTGCAGCCATCTTTCTGAATCTAACAGTATGACATTCTTTGGGATTCCATATCACCTTTTTATCTGTCTCTTGAAATAGAGGTAAATGCACTCGTGAGCAGCTTTGTTTTCTGTCTCCATATTTGTACCTTAGTCTTTGAAGGAGAATGTGCTTTGCACATTCTCTCATTTTAGTCCCTTGTTTGACAACAGAGGTACTCTGAATATGAGTAGTTGTTACAGAGGAAAAGGTGTGCCAGTTAGCTCCTGCCTACTTCCTTTCTGTTCTTTCCTTCCACATTTATTTTGCTCTATTTGTAATTCAATTGCATTGTCTGCCTGTGGCCTAAATCCAGCCTTATGTTAATCTTTGCATCCAGCACTCCTGGAATTGAGGTCAAAGCACCTTAATGCTCTGGGGAAAGTGAATTTGCCGTGCAGGACTTAAGTGATTCATGCCATCTTGATTTGTGGTTCATAGCATTATTCCTCAGTTCTCTGCACTAGACCATAGGTGACTTCCTCCATGTAGGATCAGTAATGTGCCCAGAACCTATTATTTTAATAAAGTAAGCTATTGTTTCAAACATTTTTGAGAAATGTGAAATTGTATAATGGCTTACTTTTTTTCTCGTTTATGATCTTGATTAATTTATATTACCAGCTACTTGTTAATCTATTCTTAGGTATGGAGATTACTATGTCTGGAACAAAGTCACTACGTGCATACATAACATCCTTAGTGGAAGGAGGTGGATAGAACACTATGGAGAGATAACTATCAGAAACACAAAAAGCAGCGTTTGTATTTGTAAACTCACATTTGTCAAGGTAGTGTATGTATTCTAATGCATGTCACCTATTTATAAAAATACACAGTTAAAGTATGCATAGAGGTGTTTCTTCAGTATTCCGGAAATCCACATTCCACATTTTGCCTTACCAACATTTGAGAATATCTAAATCATCAAATAAGAGTGCAATGTCAAGTAGTGTGACTTTTCCATTGAACTGGTACATTTGATATCAATGTCTTACATTGCTATACACTTGTGTGCTATACTGTTGTTGTTTTTAGGTTAAAAATAAAATGACAAAATTTCTTATCTATTAATACTATAAAAATGCAAAGTAACTGTATAGACGTTTGTGCCATATTACTTCTACTTTTGCTAGAATTTGGCCATTGATATTTTATCTCTTTGGCTTCAATAGCTCACACTATTTTAATATCCAGGCAGGAACCATATATAAAAACAGATCAATATATAGATCTGTTAGTATCAATTATTTTCCCTAAAAACATGTTTGCCCTTTGTATTATGACAAAATATATTGATACCATTGCAGTGTGAGCAATGGTGTATCACTGCAAATCTGAAGTTCGTGTCTTGTTGGATGTTCTGATGAGTGACCGACAGTAGATGAAGGTGTTAAATGTGTCTAAGAAAAGCAAAACAGAGAAGAGAAAGAGAAAGCAAATACCAAGTAATAGTGGCTGAGAGTCTTCCCTGCTACAAACAGCAGTGTGCTGGACCCATCAAAGTTTTCCTTTATATATATATTCAATACCTCCCCATCTGGAAAGAAGAGAGTTAGGTGCTTGTGATCTTGCAGCTTTCAAAGTCTCATTTTACTGCTCTATTTTTGGGGATTTGGGTTAATGAACAACAATATATTTCCCATATGTTCTGGTAATTAACTGTACTTGAATACCTTATGCTGAAACCACATATCAAGTCATTCAAGGTTTCTTAAACTAAAGCAATTAATAATCAAATCATCTGAATTTTGAATACTGATATTCTTGGTTTCAGGTGAACATTTCTGATACAAAATTTGGACAGTTAAGATTCATGCAGTAACTGTTTTGGTACAGAGTAACATGATAGTTAACTCAGAATTCTTCATTAAATTTGCAGGTAAACTACTGGAATTCAAATGTAAATGAAGTCCAAGGTGTTGTGATTGATCAAGAAGGGAAGGTGGTGCATCGCTTGTTTGGAAAGTGGCATGAAGGTCTTTACTGTGGGGTTGCACCTTCAGCCAAATGTGTATGGAGGCCAGGTAAGAAGCTTGTGGTAAACTCTGGCGGGCACCATGGTATAACTCTAAACTTTGTAAAACGGTTTGAGCCATCATTTTAAATACACAAAATACTATGGGGGAAATATTTTTTTTTTACTAGATATATAAATAAGAATTTACAACAGTTTATAATAATGATAAGTGGAAATGCTCCTACAGGGCCTAGACTTTTACATCTTGTTCTGAATATATGGCTCCTGGTCATATATTCTGGGGGACAACCTAAGAATAAAGTTAAGAAAATAATCAGGTGTCTGGGTCTGCCTGACTGCTTTCTCACAGAGAGAGGGTAACTTGTTTGGATTCAATAGAATAGGAAATATCATTTTACCAATTTTACCAAGTTTGCTGTCTTAGTCCTTTATTAAACTGAAGGACTGGTCTTCAGAGATGGTGAGCTCCTGTAATTTCAGTAGTTGAATTCAGCTTCATTATTGCTTGCTTAGAGACTTTGGCGTTAAATTACTCTTCCTTTGCACATACAGTATTTTTCATATGTTCAGAGTGATTATCCAGGAATTGTCATTATTGCTAATGCTTTGCACCCACTCTGCTCTGACTACTTTTAGTGCTGAAGGTTCAGAACAGTGCCCAATCTGTCTTCAAGCAAGTGTATGTTCCAAAATCAACACTGAAGATTAGCTAGGGTTAGCTTGTATATGTATATCTGATAAACCTGTTTTCCTAGGAATGGGAAACTGTTTAGCTTAAAAATCTTAAAAACAGTAATTTTTATTTAAAAATGAAAGATCATAAATGTTTTGAATCTATTATCATATAATTATAACCTATGAAAAACAAGCAGTTGAAATTAATACTGAGTGAACATTTTTCTCTCTGGAGAATAGCTCTTGATGCTTAATAACTGTATATAAGGGTAAATATATTAGTATTTTTTTCTTTTATAATTTAATAAATAAATGAGTCTCTTACATATTCAGAGTAATAGTAATAGTAAAAACGTTTTTGTTTCTCATGCATATGCATACAGGCTCCATGCCAACCAATTATGAACGTTATTATGGCTTCACGAGGTTTGCTATTGAGCTCAATGAGTTAGATCCTGTGCTGAAAGATCTTCTTCCTACAACAGATGCACGATTCAGGCCAGATCAAAGGCAAGAATGCTTGTTTAAACACTTAATTTTTTGGTCATTTTAAGGCTGGGATTAGCTGAGTATTGAATTTTGTTTATGTCTTCACTGCAGTCTGAACTTGGAGGATTCTGCTAGCAGAGAAGGTACTCAGTACTGCAATCAAATTTCTGCTTTACCCAGTTGAGGGAGAGTAGAAAGTATCCTGTTTGTAAAGCTATAACACAAGTCTTTTAGCAGAGGTAGGATTCTTCATGACAAGCTGGAAAGACATGCTCTGTAATGTCATGCCCTCCAGCTATGAATTGAGGCAATATTAATTCCCTCCTAATTCTCAGTTCACACTACTTCAGCATCTGTGATGCATTGAAGTAGCTAAAGAAGTTGTATGCCTAAGGCTGAAGGTCAGGTACATGGAACTGGGGAGTCAAATATCAGTTATTCTCATTTTATGGGGTTATGACTAGATCTTAAAGTACAACACAGACAACAGGCTTGGTTTCTGCTCGTCTTTTGTGTTGACTGGTGCTGGAAAATCCCTTCTTCTGGATACTGTATGATTGCTATAGGACCTGCTGTTATCCATACAGGCTTCTGGAAGAAGGAAATGTAGAAGCAGCAGCATCAGAGAAACAAAGAATAGAAGAACTCCAGAGAAGTCGGAGGCGGTACATGGAAGAAAACAGCATTGAATATGTACCCAAATTTTTTAAGTGAGTCTTTTCATTTCAGTAGAATTCTCTCTGTTTTTATTTGTGTAACTGGACAAAGAACTACATCAATTACCACCAGCATAATCTGTTTAATCATGAAAGCCTGGAAAATGGCAATTGTAATGATCAGATACCTAGGCTCAGTCTGAAGCAATTTTTATGTAGTTTAAAGCTTTGTAATGGAGAGTATCTGATCATTTTCTCACAGTGGGCAACAGCTAATAATTCTGCTGCACCCCATGGCCAATGGTTTTTGAACTTTGAAATGGAATAGAAGTATAACGTTCTAGGAGCTGTTAGCTTAGATCATTGCTAGCTCTTAGGAGGCTATTGTTTTAAGCCATTGCATAAACAAAGTAATAAATAGGGACCTGAACAAAAAAAAAGCATACATACACACACATACATATAATGTATATATATGCATTTAAATTGCAGTTGATTTATTTTTGAGAGTGTTTTGTTTTTTTTTTTAAATTAATCATTCTTCTGAATCAAGAAATATTGAATCATATCAAATAGTGTGATAGCTTGGGGAATCAGAAGTGAACAGATTGAAAGTGATTAATGTGTTTTTTTTAGTGGAAAATGAACATAATCCAGAGCAAACAATCAAGTATTCTGCAAGCTAGATCTCTTTTTTGATCCCCTGCACAGAACCTGAATCTGTTATGACCAAAGAGGCTTTTTGTAGCTTTAAAACCTGCTTACCAAGATCAGACAATGGATTTGTAGGTTTGATTGTTTTCTGAACTTTCTACTTCTGGCACAGACAGAGATTGATTTTTGTTTTTAAATCCCTGACTGGTCTTACCTCCTTTTGAAATATTAAATCAGATTTAATGTTGGGGATAGATCAGAGAGGTATGGAATTTGATTGCATATTGTATAGGAGCAGAGATCTATGGTCAGATCTTTATCTTTCCTTTTTCTTCTACAGAAAAGTTATCGATGCTAATCAAAGAGAAGCCTGGGTTACCAATGAAACCTACTGGGAACTGCGAAAGGATCCTGGATTTAGTAAAGTAGAAATTCCCGTGCTCTGGTAAACTGAGAATGTAGATCTAGTAAACATATCACTCTCCGAAGAAAAAATAACTATGCACAATATGTTTCTTATAGCTAAGCGTGGTTTGTGGGTCTATGGAAAAACCTATCATTTGCATTTATATTCATCTTTATAACAGACTTTTGAAAGTGCATTAGACCAGGCCCCTGACCACTTCTGGATCTTTTTAATTTTGCAGCAGCCATTAAAAAAAATAAAAAATAAAAAAAAAGGAAAGAAAGAAAGAAAAAGGAACAAACAGAAACCTTTTAACGTTTCATACACTGAAAATTCAGAACAAGAGAAGCAGTTATCCAAAGTCACTCTGAAGAGGTGGTAAACACAAAACTGCAACCGGTGCTTTAAACAGACATTACGAGTAATGTAATTTAAATTTAAAAAAAAAAAAAAAAGAGGAAGAAAAACAGAAAAAAATCCATTTTGTTTCAACTATTTTTGTTAAAAACTCTTGCGTCACCACACTGTCATTTCTGGCTTCAGGTTAGTCCTTTGGTGTGATGTGCTTGGACTGACCTTGTCAAAAAGAGGCTTTTCTGGAAGCTGTTCCCATTCATATGCCATTGTTCATGCCTTAAACAAAATATGAAGATGTACAGTAAGTCATTTTAAAATATGTATGCTTAGGCTTGTGTGAAGGGCAGATTTTTAAAGCACTAGGATTTTATCATGCTATAAATATTAGAGAACCTGTATTATTTAAAATCAGAAAACAACCAAACAACTGTATTTCAGAGGGATGAGGTCTACTGTACATGCTTTAGCTTTGGGAAGCTGGTTGTATAATCAGACTGAAAAGAAGCTGCTAACTGGTTAAATTTGAGGTAATTTTGGTAAATGCATATGAATAGCTAGTCAGAAAAATCATATTCTAAATGACTGATTCTGAGATGTGATCATCTCTTACCACAGACTGGACATGGTCTTACAGCGAATCTCATTTCTCTATAACTGCTTATACAATTAGGATTCCCTAAAGCTTTGCAACAGTGTTAAAGCACAGAAAGATTTCATGGGAAGGTCTCTGGCTTCTCTCTAGAGGTTGAATAGTACTTTAAATGCAACTAATGTTTTCTGCCATACATGCTGTTTACTGGCTCCATTCTTTCCCCATCCACTCTTCTTATCTAAATTTATAGTTGAGAGTAGGGAAGAGGTTCCCATGCACTGTAGATAGCTACTACTACTTGTGTTGCCAAAATAACTTTTGTGCAAAATTATATTTTACAATTTTTCATAAAGTGATCCTATATGTTTTGGTTAGGAACCAAGTCTCATATGTGTTGCTAAGCCTCAGTTAATATATGTGGGAGAAGTCTTGGCATTTTCTGTGTGAAAATCTTGGAAACACTAAAGAGTAGAAAGACAGGTTTTAATAAAATAAAAAAATAACTTTATTAGGTAAAAATTGCATTTCATATGGTATGACCTAGTCTTCCATTTGCACACACATAATACATCCTCCAGACACTGATGTATATGCACTGTATCTGTATTTCTTTCTACATATACACAGCATACATAATGCACTTTTTTTTTTTTTTTTTAAGATTGATTCCAGTAATGAGACCTAAAAGAATGATTGGATAGCTATGTGATCCTGCCAGTAGAGTTGTGTGAACAGCTCTCAGTGGAATACCACATGTACCCATCCCTCTACCTGCCTCTTCCTTTTGCAGTCAGGTCCCTACAGAGCTGAGATTACTGTGGTTATTTAATACCCATTTAGTTCTCAACCTTGTTTGTAAGGCAGAGCAACTAGCTACTGATGTATTCCAGCTTCTTCACACAGTTATGTTATCAGGAACAAGTATGAAAACCTAAAGAAAATATTAGATAGAATTTTAAAGAATTTTGAATAGTAAACATTGCTTATGAATGCTTGGTATAAAAAGTTGTGTGCAGATTACCAGGATTTCTTCCAAAGAAAATTGTGAATTATTTGAATAATGATATAGTTTTCTTTCCTACTTGAACCCATTTTTTTCTGCAGCTGTTATTATAAGAAAATGAAAATATATAATGGTTTGTTTGTTTTAATCATACTTGGTTGACTTCATCATACTTGCTTTAATGGTGTTACACTATGAATCAAATCGGCACATTGTGTCCAAAATAGCAATTATTTTTTGTCACTTCCCTTAAATGCAACATTATTATTTACCCACATTACACTCCAGCCTGTGTGCAGTTCACTGTGATATTAGAAAGTATTAGAAAGTGTGTGATTGCAAGTACATTTGAGGGACAGAAACTGCATGTTCTCTTTCTTTTATATTTTTTTAAGTTGACTTTTAGTTTAAATATAGAAATAAGGTATTTAGTTTTAGTGTTCTAGTGTTCTCTGAATGCCATTCTTTCCAATGCAAACTGAAACTTGGCGAACACTGAGGATGTTATTACTGCTTGAATTATTCTTTTACAATTATTTATCTCATACTCATTGAAAGAAAAATAGCTTTCAAATTTTTAGAATTAAAAAAAATGTGATGTGCTTAATCTTTTATCGAAGGAACTGTTTAAACGTACTGGATATTAAATTAACTGATTGTTAAATTAGTTAATTATTAGTTAGAGGATTTGCAAAGCAAAGTGTTGCAAGATATTGTTGTCTTTACCAGAATTCTAACAGTGCCAGCAGGTGTGCCATAGGGCAGTTTCCTATAGTACAGAATTCTCTCACAATTTTCTGTGTAAAATCGATTACTTTTTTCCTGCAACCTTGGGGAGACACTGGGACATATTTTGTGCTGTTTCTAGAGAATGGATTACTAAAAGACAGGTCCTGGGGCTCGTGCCCAAACTATGATTTGCAGACATCCTATGAGATTTCACCATCTCTGAGGTGAGGGGGATGGCAGGCTGCCCACCCTTCTGCCAGTGCAGTGCAGTCAGATTTCCTGCAGTGTGGTGGGAAGTCTATTTTGCAGCCTGGCACCTGCTGTAAGCACTTGCTGCTTTTTGGCAATGTTGCTGCTGCCTGACCGTCCATGCCAGCTTGTGGGATTTTTGTGCCCCAGGTGGAGACCTTTCCATTTCTGTTGAACTTCACAAAGTGTCTTATGGCACAGGGCTCAGGCTGAGCAAGGTCCTCCCGACAGAACCTCTGCCGTTTGGTGTGCCATTGAATCCTCATTTAATGCCAACTTGTTAGGGTGTAATCTGTGTCCTTGCCCAGGTCACTGGTGAGATAGCCATCAATAAAGGCCACAAAATTAACCCCTCCTTGCTGGATGCCATTGGGGTGTAAGCCATTGGTCAGTGCCCTTCGAGCCTGGGGCTTCAGTCAGTTTTCAGCCCACTGAAAACTCCTCCATTCAGCCAGGCAGTATTTCCTTTGGTAAGGCACAAAAGATACTTACTCAGTAGATTTAATTGCTACAGGTTTAGTATACAGTGAATATTAGCGTATTTAAAAACTCTTAAACAATTTAAGAAGTTCTGACTTTTATTACAAAGACATTTTCGCTTTTTCCTGTTTTCTCAAACTACATATTTGTGTATAAAATACACAGCCCTTATACCTTATTTCCACAATAGTGAAATGTACCTTCAATTAATATTTAAAAGTGTACTTTGTTCCGGATATGATTCATTAACAATAGCTATTTTCATCAAAAGTCATGTCATCTTACTTAACTTCATTCCTATTTAGGATCCATATTAACAAAATGGCAGAATTTTCTGTGTATTAGAAACCATTACCTCAGCAGGAGATAAAATTTGAATATGAGTTGATTTTCATATTTTTACTGTGATTAAAAAGTCATCTCAACACCCATTCTACTTCTAGACTGATGTAGGTTGCATGAAATAAACTATTTTTCTATTTGGCTTTAAAAATGTAATCCCACTGTAATACTCTGGTCATCTTACAAATACTATTACCCTTTTTTCTCCTCATTTTGATCTTCTGACTCTGAATGAACTTTTATGTTATTCGTGAGTTCTGTTTGAACAACAGATACCAGGCTGATTTTAAGTATTGCGGGAGATGCATGTTGCCAGCACTGGTGAGATCAGAGACAGAGATCAACACTAGCTGTTTAAAATGTCGTTGGCTGCAGTTGAGGAATTACCTCTATTTCGGTTGTCAGGATTAATACTGGAGCTGCATAATGAAAAAAAGAAGAGTTTTTTAGCTTAAATATACCTGAAAGGTAGTTATTTTTGATCATGCACTAAAATCGAAGGGTTATGTTAAAGAGAGTTTCGTGTGGCTAGGGGAAAAATGATCAGCGTTAACAAAATTGTGTAAGAAACACTGGAATGTCCTCACCAGTCAGCCTGTGTTACAAACAGACTTTGGAGAAAGCTAACAAATGTGTTACGTCGTAACTGCTTATCTCAGTGGCTACTGGAGCTGCTATCTAGCATTTTCTTCTTGGCTGGCATTAAGTAACAGTCATCAAAATAGTATAAAACTTTAATTTGTTCTTTTGAGCATATATTGTTAAAAGTAGAGGTGGTCAAGGATACAATTACAACTACATTTTTGTGTTCATCTACTAAACTTGCAAGGGAATGCCTGGTTACTTCTATTATAATTTTGCATCACTCAAAAGATAAGTTTCATGGAGAAAGTTTTTTTTTTTTTTTTTTTTTTTTTTTTTTTTTTTGTCATAGTTGCTTTTAACAGAAGAATCTAGACTAAGTGTGTGAATAAAGGTTTAATTATTCCTGGGGAGGATATCTCCCTAAGCTACCTTGGAAAAGTGAATGGCATCCATAAGAATGTTAAGAATCTCAGTAAGCTCAAAGAAATGGCCTATTTACAGCAGTTTATTTTATTTTTGTGTTATATACCGTAAAGGGGTCTACTTACAAAAGCAAACATTCTTCGCTCTTTAAATTTGAATGTATAAACCCCTTCATTGATGAGCTTTGGTACATATTCCATCTTCCTTCCACTAAATTTGAAAGCCTCTTTCTAAAACCTCCTTTGGAAGATTTTTATACAGTATCTTGTAAGTTAAAAAGTGACAGCAATGTACTTGTAGCTGCTTTATATACCCATCTCCTCCTTTGTCGAGTTTTGTGGTATTACTAAACCCATCACGTCTTTAATTCTTTTTCCCTTGTGTTCTCTAACGTACCTCAGAGAAGGGAGAGAAAGACTGCAAGAGAACAGTGAAACTAATGACAGCAATTCTGTCAGTGACACCATTGTAACAAAATAGAAAAAAATAGGAAAATTTCAAACTTGCATGAATTAAAATGTCAGAGCAGCTGTTAAATCTGTTCCAGGCAGGTTATGTTAATACCATTTATCTTTCCACTGATCCATGACAGCATGAGAAAAGGGAGGACTGGTGACATTTGTTCTGAATGAATTCTGAAGGTGAGGGAAAGTTTTATTCCATTTATAAATAAAAACTGCTGTAGACAACGTTTTGGTAAAAGTATATTGGTAATGTGGACAAAGAGAGTTACAGATTTTATAAATATGGAAAACATAAAGTTGGAACATATATTCCAGTCAGCAGCATGTAATATATTGTCATGACCTTTGAACAGTTCAGTGGCAAAGCTACCTATACGTACCCTTAGAGCAGTGATCCAGATGTTGTCTCCCATGAAACACTAAAACATATTTCCATATTTAGTGCTACTTGTAATAGTCTGCATTAGTGAATGAGGGGTATCTTACGATAAGTTATAATCTTCCTGCCATAAACTATTATGGATGCAAAATGGGAAAAGGTGAGCAGATTCCTGCAAAAATGCAGAATTGGGTAACTTAATTGTTTTACTCTGGGCATCCTTATGATGAAAGTCATCATAAAAAAAAGCAGCACTTAGAGTGATAAATATTCAACCAGAACAATTCTTCCTTGAATTCTTCCTTGTGCCAGTCAGTTCAGCCACAAATAAATATTTTTCCTTCCCTCCCCCCCCCCCGGAACTGTATTGCTGTTTATGATTGCATTTGTGACAATTCTCATGCCCACCAAGGACAGTCAGCAGTAGAAAAGATTGCAAGATCAGATTTCTTTTCTTTTAATCCTGCGTTCCTTTGTCTCATAGTCCTCTTCCTTTGGTAAATTCACCTCAACCAGGAATATTACAGTAGCATTTAAAAAGTTAATTTTAGTTTAACCTTCAGTATTTTCTGGGCAGAGGAGAATTCAGGATTTCTTCTTTAACTGTGTTGAATAAATAGAGATATGATGTGAAACTATCATTGTATTTGCATAATATTTTATAAAAAATATTTGAGATCAGACCAGCAATAATGAAATAATACATAAAAATGTTAAACATGCATTTTTCACCTATCTTGAAGTCAGTGTTGAAACTTACCATTCTAATATGAGGATAGAATTGAGGTCTATTTAGTTCTTAAAATAAGTGTGACTGATATTCTTTGGTGGTTTAAAGGTAGCATAACAAATTCAGATCACAATAAATTTTATATTTAGCTGGGTTTCAAACAAGATGTGACTATGAACTGAGAATAGATGTTGATGAATATATATTGGGATGCAGGCATATATGCAAAGATAGCAACTAATAGCTTAGTTAAGCTTTTGCTATAATTAGTAAAAGCGGTGTTCTTGTTTCTTTAAAATTATTTATAGACTAATTATTTTCAAACATTCATTCCCCACTAAGAATTAATTACATGTCAAGTGTGAGTTTTAAAAATTAAACAGTGTTTGGAACTTGACAGGCACGGAGGATGGTTCTCCTGTCATGCAATTAATGCTCAGATCTTGCTAAACCTCCACTTTCCAGATTAAGGTAGACCTAGAATAATCATTCACTAAAATTTTGTGTGGACCCAAAATAAATACTTGTAAACTTTTTTTTTTTTCTTTTTTTTTTTTCTGGATGGGATTCCTTTTTGTATATTGATTCGTGTCTGAAATTTACTATATAATAATTGAGAAATCAAGCTGTTAGCATCTTATGTTTGAAATATTTTCCTTCACCAAACTGCTTGTTCATTAACTGTTGCAGCAGGTTTTCTGATGCAGATGCTTTATTTAGTGTATAAGAAGACATCATAAAATTGAACTACTGTGGCATCCAGAGAGATCATTAAGATAGTTTCGTATTAGGAGATTAGGTATATTCGTTTTGTTGAAACCAGTAGCAAGCTTTCTTCTTTCAGTCTGTATCTACTTCCCTTTGTATAAATATCTTTTTGGTGAATTGCAATTTCTGAGCATTTCAACAGCAGAGAATTCTGTATTTTCTCTCCTTTTGCACAAAGTTAATACAAACTGGGAGCAATGTCACACTTTTTGGTGAGATTAGTTCCCATATACACACATGTGACGTGGTAAATTCCAGTATTTATAGATTGCTCACATGCTGAAAATGCCATTATAAGAGTAAGGTTTAGATTAGCTGTCAGTTTTACTTTGCTTACTGAGCTTCATCACTTTTATCAGCATTTACTTTCAGATGGGAAACAACCTTGCACCATTTCTTTACTACGTAAAAATGTCAAAACATAAATAGCTAAATGGGCATTATTTGCTGATTTTCCATACCTCTGTGCTTATTTGACAAAAACAAACAAAGAAAGAAACAAACAAAAAAAACCCACCCACACCAACAAATCTGTTGATTTCTTGTGCACCTTTATATAGCATCCTTGTAAAAGGAGGTCCTCAGAGTCTTTCCACTGTGATTATACAATTGTGTTAACTAGAAAGGTATATAGAAACTTGCTTCATTTTTTTTTTTTTTATAGATGAATTTTAAAAGCAAATAGTTGCTTTCTAAGAAGCCCAACATAAAGAGTCAGTGCTGCTTTTGTGAGTAGCAGATAGACAGTGATTGTTCTGGAGGGCAGTAACACTGTAACTGCAATGGGTCTATGTACATTGATGCACCAGACAAAAATTTTTATGTTGTTTAAAAGGAATAGGAAACTGTCACCTAAAGGAAAAAAAAAAAAAAAAAAAAAAAAAAGAAAAGAAGAAGCATTTATGTATCCAGATACAGAAACATTGTCGAAAGCATTATTTTTGAACACTGCAATATTAAACTGCACCTGCAGCACCCTTCATTTTATGCTCAAAAGTTCAGCATGGACTTCCATAAGATGAAGGTGAAAAAGATACTGGGGAAAAAAAGTCAGTACAATAATTTTTAAATGACTCAATTGAAAATTGATGTGCAAATCTTTGTGTTAAAAGCTGTATAAACTACTTAAAGTATTGCAATTCTTAAAGGTTTAAATTTAGTGATTCATAGTACATTGAGTAATTTAAAATAATAAAAAAATCTTCATCTTGATTGCTTTCCTGCAAATGCTCACTCATTTTTGCTTGACTGCCATTTTGAGGGATCTTTCAGGATGATGATTCTTTACATCTTTTTGATCCTATGCTCCAAATACTGACTGTAAATGTGCCTGTAAAAAGCACTTCTACTGCTTACAGTTACTAAGCATCAACAGTTGATGAAAAACATAGGTAGGATATAATTTGTATTAGAATTTTAATTCAAATGCAATAGCTAATCAGCAATGTACACCCCAGATTTTTTTCTGCTTGGACTCTGATCTTGCACAGGCACCAGTACATCCTTAGGATACCTATTGCAAGTTGTCTCATTGAATTCAGTTAAAAAGATGGAGATATTCATGTTTAAATGAAAAGGCTCAATGTTGATAGTTTTAAGAAATCAAAACAATGTACCTGGTTGCACCAGGCTTTGTAACACTTGATTTTTAATCCCTATGAGCTTAAACAAATGAACATCAATGCAGATGAGGCTGAGCAGCTCCTGTTGATACTCCATTGAACTCAGTGAACTTGCAGGGGAGTGGATGGTCTGGCTGCCCAAATCATATTTCAGTTTCAGGCTTATCATACAGTCAAGCATAGATATTCAGCTACTTACACTTAAGCTTATTTTTGACCATGTGCACAGTCTCATGGAAGATCAATGCGTGAAATGCAGCTGTATTCACTGCTTGCCAGTCAGAGCAATTTATTCAACTTTGACTCTTGCATTTTGGGACCTTATTCTGCGGCTTGCAGTGTTTAAGAATCTGTTAACGTTACATCTCTGCAAAGATCAATTATGTATGACATTTGGAAGAAAATGCAGGAGAACAGATCATTGACAATTAATCATACTATCTCACTCTGGCAAGCTTAATTGTGAGAATATTTGCAATTCCTGTCCCTGTTTCCCTGTGCGCTCCTCAAGCCAGTGTGAGCCAGAGCAAAGGCTGCTAGTGCCATATGCCAAGGGGAGCAGGAGACTACTTTTGCTGACTTGTGAAGAAGGGATGGCTAACTAAGAGCATGCTCCAAATCTCAGCCTACAAAGCATGAATGTGAGAAAGTGCCTCCCCTCTCTCCTGTTAGGCTTTAGCACATCAGTAGAATTACTGTTTTTGGGATATTGAGTTCTCTGGCTACTTCAGAGATCAAACCCACTCGCTAGCTGGGAAACAGCAGTGAAAAAAATAATTTCAAGTTCTCACGTAGCACAGCTGCAATGCACTTACTCTGTGTCTTTGCACCCATGAGTTGTTTTTGACCATGCTGTTGTAGTAACCCTGAATGCAGATGAGGCCTCATGCCGACTACCTCTCGTGCAATAAATAATAAGCTCATGCAGCAGTGGGTGTTGGTGATGATCCTTTGGGAACAGGAGCATCTGTTGGCCACGTGATTCAGGGAGGTGGTAGTGGAGGTAGTAGTAAACAAGAGAAATTACTTTAATTAGGAGTTTAATCCAGTGATGCTTGTGGTATAGACAATACCCACGATACCAACTCCAACTGAGGAAGGTCCTACAGCTTCTAGTAGGAAATAAAGGTGATCTTGGCTATGCTATAGTTTCTGTTTTGCTCTAAAATGTAACAAAAGATGTCATCTGTTTCCTTCAAGCTGAGCCGGATTTATCAGGACATTATGTCCAAAAAACACACACACAATTTTAGTTTTTGAGGAAACATGATGCTCTTTTACCTGTTGCAATGTAATTGGATAATGCATGTACAAATGACTTGTTTAGCCTGCCAATGAATGTTGCTAATGCCTTACCAAAAAAAAAAAAAAAAAAAAGCATATTTTTTGTATTTTTTTCCTCAGAGGCAAATCCAAACAATGCTAGATTTGGGAAACTGTTTACTGAAAAGCATTTTCTAATAGATCTCTGAAGAAGTGCAATTGTATAATTATTATTGTTCAGTGCATACAGTACATTGTCTCCATCACTCTGTACACTGCTGCTATTAGTGCTTGTTCTAATAAAACTCAATGTACACTGTTTAATCTGCTGTCATCTGTGTTCTGATTTATTAACATGAGAAATGCCTCAGAATATGAGTCTTGAATGACTTGTTTGTAACTAGATAAGTGGACTGGCTATTAATCGTATAATTCTGATGCAGATTGATTTTGTAGAGGTGGGTGATAGTGGCAGCAGTAACACTGAAAAAGCTACTTCTCAGAAGCTTCATCCTGTTCCTTTCTAACCTGTTTCCACCGCAGGATTATTTTATAATACTTGTGCCATGTGACTCTCTGTGCAGTTCCTTTAAATCTGGCAGGAGCTACCAACTGCGGCCTCAAAGAAGATAATTTTCTTTTTGGCAGTTCCTACTTTTATCTTCGTGCTACAGCTGGTCAGAACCTTTTGCCTTTTTTTTTTTTTTTCTTTTCCCATGTCAGCTTGCATTTTGTGATTAAAGGGAGCTTGTGGTATGTTTCTCAAGTTGTATGTGAGAGAGTGGGGGAAATGGGTTCCTGATGTTCTCTAATAGAATTGAAAAAAGGAGGTGTGGAAATAGAGGGGAAAAAAGTTACTAGACACCCACCCATTCTGATATCTTTGAAAAAACAACAGTATGTGGGATTTTTCCGTTATGTGTTCTTGTCTGTTGTTCAACCCTTAAATCAATTATATTTTATTTAAAATGAAAGCACAGTAAAAAAAGAATGTTTGGGGGCAGAAATTAAAGTTTGTGTTGTTTCTTGGCATTATAGAAGAACAAGTGTTCAAGCAGTCTGGAAGGCTGCTTGCCTGGAAGCAATAGCAATGGAGTAAAAACACCTTTTTCATGAATGGCAATTTTAAATTTTTTATTATTATTAATTTTGTGTGTGGTGGCAGAGTATATGTCTGATGTCATCCAAACAGATGCTCTGAGCATGGATGTAGGCTCTGAGCTAATTTTCTGTTAAACAGTTACTTCAGTGGAATTCAGCTTGGGTTTCACATTTCTGTAGTTTGGACCTGTACTTTGCCTCTCAGTGTTTGGCAAAACCAGTCTAACTTTCTTCAGTGACAGTTGCTCAGCAAAATCGGTGTGCATAGATAAAGAGGGAAAAGTAAAATGTCATTACTTAATTGAAAAAACAACTGCTAAACCTTTGGGAAGAGATGAGAGTGCAAGAGGCCTGTAAGGCAGCACTGCTGTTCTGCCTCTCTCTTGACATCTAAAGTAGCAGAAAAACTATTCCTTGAGCATGGGAATCAATTTCATATTTAAATTTAATCTAACCAAGAGACAGATGATACTTCTTCTTCACCACAAACATGTAGGCACGGTGGTGTGGTTGAAGTGAGACAGTGTAGGAAGCTATTGACAGGATTTCATCCTGACTCAGCTAAAGGAGTTGCCCACAGAAAGCTGCTCCCAGTGGCACTGCCGGTACAAAAATCTGTTCTGATAGGATGATGCACAGCATTTTTTGCCTAGCCAACATATCAAGATGCATGGCTCTCCAAGTCCCTATTAGCTTATTAAATATTAAAAATAGCCTAAATGTTAAAACCCACAAATATGCAATGTTGACTGTTCCTGCACCTGAATATGCAACTTTTTTTTTTTCCCATTAAGTAATAATTACTAAATAAGATTAAAAGACACTAACTTGAAATGTTATTCAAAACTAATAAGGTGCAATGGGCTAACTGAGAAAGTACCCTATATTTTATTTAGACTAAGTGGTGAGTCTAATTTTACTTAAGGCCAGTAAATAAAATGTCATACATTTAGATTGTGCTTTTTATTTCTGAAAGTTATGTGCAAGTTGTAACTGTTAAGCTAAGTAGTGAAGAGGGAGGCTAGGTTCTGTATCCATATCTATATCTCAAGTGCCTTTTTTTAAGGGTAAATTTAACAAGTGTTGAGGGAAAGTTAATACAGGATAGATAAAAGAGTGTTACAGGCACGAATCTGATATGAAAACAGTTTTACCTGTGATTAGATTACATTTGTAATCAATGCCTGTTCACATGGAAATCTTCCAAAGTAAAGTCAGATACTTAATTGCTTTTCTTATTGCTATCTGTCTGGGTATATGTCTTTCTTTAGCAAATAAATTAGACTAATTAGTAGCTCAAATTTCACAGCTACCCCGGTTTTCTTGACTGGGTTTTCTGGTGAGTAGGTAGAGGAAAAAATATAAATCACATTTCCAAGAGGTTACCCTTTTTCTACTGTAAGTGTATAGCAAATTCTGATAAGGACATTCCAGCTTTTTTATTTTTAAAATGTTAAAATTTAAGGTATGGATTGTTTTTTAAGTACATTATTTTTGAGTGCTAAGCATGACACTTAGCTGTCAAAGAAACTGAAGTGATGCAGCACAGGGGCACATGCATTCTTCAGTTCTAGTTAAGGAGCTAATTTCACTTAAATGCTGATCAGCTAGCACAGTACAACAGTATTAGTCAGCCTGCTTTTTATGTTTGGTGACAAGATTTTTTTATGTGATCTGTCTATTAATATGTTTAGTATCTGGAAACTGCTCAAGTATATTATTTTATGCTTATATGTGTGTATGTGGGGGGGGAGAGGGAAGGAAACTAGATGAGGAAGTGTTCCTGTAGCATGAAAAGAAACAACCTAAATAAGACTAGGGATGGTTATGAAAGAGGATGCTGAATTCTTGCACGCCCTACAAACACCTACGTCATTTAATCTGTTTATAAATAGTCTCCATCCAAAGATCTGAGAGTACTTTAAAATACTAGTCAGTTCTTGCAGGATCCTACTCAGGGAAGTGATGTCTTACCACAGCCGCATACAGTAGGTTTCATAGGCTGAGGTTAATTGCCCAGTATCACACAGTGGCCAGTGACAATGCCAAAAATAAATACAGTTAAGTCTGCTGCTCGGATGAAAATGTAACAAGAAGCAAGGAGCACAATGTCTATGCTGAAGGATGTACTGTATAGAGCTACCTTTACCAGTGCCCATCAGACAGACCAGCATGGACAGTTTGAATTATATAACAGTAAACAAGTCCTTTGTTTTGTAGTTTTTCTTCAGACATTGTGACACAGCAGCTACAGTTCTGCAGGTAAATGCTCAAGCCCACAGTGCTGTCCTCCAACACAGAGATGCCGGATCACATATGCTAGTAGAAGGCCTGAGCCTGTAGGGCAGCATCCTCTAAAGGAAAGGCAGTGATAAACCCACAATAAATCACACTGGGATGTTTGTTTCCAGGAGATCTGTCTTCACTAACCTAATAATACTAGATGATGAAAATAGCCTCATTATGTGCAGTATTGTTTATGTAACAAATGACAGACCATTTCTTTTGGCTGAAATACGTGCCCTCTCCTCGTAGTTGATAAGTTTAAATGCAAGCATGCTGTCTCAGCAAATCTCTCCCTAGAGTACTACTTTTGCATTTCTTACTAGTAAATGCTTTACAGCTAACACATCCATCTGCCCATTCTAAACACTGCCAATAAAGTTAGGGCAATTAGAAGCTAAAGCTGGTATATTTTGTACATATCAACTATAAGTGGTCATTTAATATTGTGTTATTGCAATATGTGTGCTTGAAGCACGGATCAAATAATCTTTGCATCCACAGCCACGAACAAAGCTCTGTGACCTGAAAGGTGAGTCTGTGGAAGAGACGATGAAGCTACCACCAAAATGTTTGCTCCCTGATCTCTTTTGTGTTCCCTCATCATTAATGTGGCTTTCACGGGAAGGCAGCAAGGTAGTACAAAGGACCCAGCTGTGCAACACATTCCCTTTTCATCAACAGAAGGTGCTTGTGTAAAGGTGAGCAGGGGATGATGCCAACCAGAAGCCATAAAGGAGCGAGGTAACTCCACATCTTGCAGCCTTTCATTTGTGTAACACTTACCGTCAAGGTCAGCTTTTAATACATTGATTGCTGGGCAAGTGCTGTGCTGTAATACTGCACCTCCTGACACAAAATCTGCCTTTTGTATGTACTGTAGGATGGGCTATGAATATGCGTTACCACAGTCTGTTCTGTGACACAGCATACAAGGAGGCTCCAGCAGTTTACTTGCACTGTCAACCTGAGGAGTATTATAGAAGAAACATTAGTTACAGTGAGTATGTGTGCGCCTGTCTTCCAAACGAACTGTTAAATGCAACTTAGATTATCCTGATCACTGACTTAAACAGTACTACTCAGCTAACATTCCTGTGACATCAAAGTATTTAAAGGTGTGCTTATCTAGAGAAATGTGTACTTACTCTCTTGAGTAACTAGAATGAAGTAAGGAGCAGAACAAGAGACAATTACTGTAAGAGCTGTAAGAGAGATTTCCCTTCATGGTTATATCAGATAAATACATTTAAAGATGACATATATTCCACTATAGAACAGCCCTAATGATACATATTAGATATCTGTTGGAAGAGTGATAGAACACTATAATAGAACTGGACAACAGTGTTTCCCACAACTTTTAATTTTTTTCTTTTCAGATCCTTTCTAAGTGGTGAAGAAAATGATCACAAAGTTCCCATATACATAAAACATGAAAGTCTGTTAAACCTATCTGTTGAAGCTTTTCATCATTATTATTTTTTTTCCCTGTGAACATAGATAGTAGTGGAATATTCAAAAAGATCTGACCCCACAAGTAGAACATACTTTAAATGTGGGGACTTAAAACTGGGCTTCCTATAAGTTGCATCCTTTAATTTCTGAGCTCTCTAATAATATGGCATATTTATCATGCTGCCTAGAGAAGTTTCCATAATGAACTAATTAAATTTCAGATACGCAGGCAGTAACTTTACCAAACTGAGAGTTTAATAAAGTAAGTCTACACAAAACTAAAATACTGCCATAGCTAATTTAATTGTTCGACTATACTGCATAATTGAAATTTGTGAACTGATTTAAAGTTTCACTGCATTTGAATTAGATAATAAAGAAATCCAACATGCAGGTATATGCATGCTGAAGCCAAGTCTGCTGAAAGCTTTTATCTGTTCTTAATTTGCTGTTCTTCCCACAACAGTATCTAAATACCACACAGTTTTGGGAGCATCAGTCAGTGTGAACATCGTGCCAAGAGATGCCAGTGTCCTGGCAAACTGCTGGACCAGGAGTTCATCATGACATCAGTGCTGAGTTCCAGAGGAATGTAAGTCACCATATTAAACTGTTTTTGCTTATAGAAGATAATTGCTAGACAAGCACCACTTGGGGGGGGGGGGGGGGGGGGAGGGGGAATAAATTAATCAACTGATTTGAAAACTGCTTAGAACAGCAAAAGAGTCTGAATTGTGTACTATACTACTTTGACAGCATTCCCATGTGGATGGGAAATCCAAGAGGAACAGTAGAACACACGCTGCAGTCCTATGAGCCTGCAGTGTCTGTCTTATTCCCTGCCCCTCGTGTGTTTTGTAGGCATTCTGCAGGAGCTTTGGTTAGAGCAACTGTCAGCAATGTGGAAAACAAAATTACAGTGTGTTATTTTCCTGTCCAGCACATGAATAAAGTGCCTGTATACCAGGCTTTAGATGTTTTTAATAATCTCCTAATAACTGAACTATGAGTTTCCTGGCAAGCATTGTCAGAATATACGTATATGAGGGTGTAAAAGCATTTGTTGTGACATCTGTATTTGGAGGACAGTATTTTATAGTGGTAACAGCATCTCAGCTTGAAGCCAAAAATCTTTGCTCACTTTGGTACTGGTAGTCCCATCTAGCAAGGAGAATATCTCTTTCTTACCTTTAGAATGTCATACTGCATCTCAAATAAAGGCACTTTAAGAAGGGAGAGAAGAACTGTGTACGTAAGAGAAAACTGAGAGACAGCAAAATGAAAGGGGAAAAATGTTAACAGTCTAGCAGGCTTGGTCAGACCACGGTGAGTAGAACTGTCAGTCTTCAGCCATCTCTGGGACAGGCATAAACAGAAAGAAAATCTAAGGTTGGCCAGCTCTGGTGTACAGCAGTTCAATCCTAACTCTGCTCACAGCATCACAGTTACCACGACATACAGACTACTTTCTTTTGCATCTAGATAGATTGAAATGCCACCCAGATCACAAAAGAGAAGTGTACCAGTGACTAATAATACCACAATATGAACATGATCTCTCCAAAATGTTTGATAGCTATGTTGGAATACATTATGTCACAACATACCTACGAAGCACAGAAAGCAGTATTGCTGACAGAGCACCCTCTCATGGTCCCAGGGAGAAGCCCACTCTTCCCTCTGGGTTTCTCCTAGTGCCAGTGGTGGACACTAAGACACTTTTTCCTTATCTGTTGAGCTTTGGTGACAAGCTCTCTGTCTCCCAACCTCTGTTGCTTTAGTGTCCCCTTCTCCTCACATGAGGCTCATCTCCTCTCAGCTTCAAGGACTTCCAGGCTGCTGAATGCCACCTCCAGCTCTATTCTAAGAACTAGATTCTACCTAGTTATTTGAATGAATGTAACTTTTAAATCATCTTACAAATATGGGTATAGTATAAAACGACGCATATATGGAATAAGTCCCATAAGATGTTATTTTTGTCAGCTTCTGAAGTACATGTATAACAGGATCTATATTGCTGAGACCCTTGCTTTTTAGGGAAATACTCATGCCATCTGCTGGGAAGTTATGGAATTCAGCAAGTAATTTTTCAGTAGCATTTTTTCATTTTTTTCATATTTTATTTTTTAGGTGTTAAATTCTTGCACCTTTTTTTTGGGGGGGGGGAAGGGGTAAATGTAATATAGTTCAAAGGCACTTACGTCAGGAGGTCTTAGCACCCTTTTGTATGCTAAGATATGATGCAATTTACTGGCATAATTTGGTACTGTTTATGTGAACTTAACTCTTTCAAGACATACACCATCTCAGTTTAATTTAGTTTTCACTTGGATGTGCATAATTAGTAAATGTTTTCTGAAATGGCAAAGTTAACATAGTTGCACTCCAGTTCTCTGACTTGTAGCATGAGAATAACAAGCAGCTGCTGTGGCATTTCTGGTGGACGTTCTGGGTGTTGGAGTAACATGAGTACCACATAAACATATCCAATGAAACCACTAGTTACAGAAATAGTGCTAGAATCAGAATGAGTATGGTCTTCTACCAAAAATATGTTGAATAAACAGAGGCAGCAGAGCTTAATAGCTTGTAGAAAAAATAGTCTCCTGTCAAACAGTTATTACAAGACAAACATGAGATGAATCTGAATCATAATCAATTTTAAGTATTTTGTTAGCATTTCCTTCTCTTTATAGCTTTTTGAAGTTTTGCTGATTTGTTTTGATTGAGTAAATATGTACAGGTTTTTTGTTGTTGTTAGTGTGGTGTAATGTGAATGACAGTCAGACTGAGCAGCAGCATTTCTCAAGTTCAGTTCAAAGTCTGTATAGCCAGCTTCGATTTTTTAGCACCCTCTAGAGTAAGCAGGAAGCTTTGACAGCCTTTGCCTCCATCTCAGGCAGATGAGAAACTCTCTTTTTCCCTTTGTGTTGGACTTCCTGATACTCTAACCATTTAAAAAATAATTATGAAAGTATTGGAAAGAACAGATATTGAAATGTTTTCTATTATTAAATAAATGTCATTATTATTAAAACAGTTTTAAAAATGTTTTCACATGGAAATTGTACTTTGGGAAAAAAAGCCAACCAAATAACCTTTTCACCCAGCACCAACTGATAATATTCATATTGAAGTGTAACTTCACAGGGCTGTGGCTGATATTTTATCTTCTGTAACTGCAGAAGGAGCACCAAAAAGAAGTGCTCCAACACCAAGCAGCTGTGTGCTCACCACTCTTCCAAGAAGTAAGAAGTTCAAGTCCCTGCCAGCTGGACCATCATGATTACGTGGGGACATCTCAGTTCCTGCAGCGTCCACCACAGTGATGCCTACTAAGAGGGTCCTCTTCCTTCCCTTTACAATTTATCTTTTTGTACTAATGTTTTTCCTCTAGGATTCTTGAGCTGCTCCTTAATATCAATAATCTTACTTCTGTCTGTAATTTTACATTTATTATTTTCCAGAAGTACACTCTATGCACTTTCTGAGAGCTCTTACTGAAAATTTGGAAATTTCAAATTCGGAGCCAAATATATGCAGCTGGTCTGTCTCAAAACCAGCCCTGTGTTCCATGGGAGGAGAGTACCATGCACTGAGTGAGAGCCCACTGCTGTCTTCCAGCAATTTCCAGCCTTTGCTTGGCCTTTGTGCTTCCACAGAGCCCCATGCCACTGACTCCCTCGCTGAGCTTGAGCAGGTTCTGTTGTGCAGCTGCTGCTGAAAGGAAACACTACCTCAGCAGGTCTGTTTGCTTCCACAAATGTGTAATTGAGGTGCTCTCCCTGATGCTGGTGGCAAAACATGCTAGGATTCGGCTGCAGCAAGGTTGTAATGAACAGCAATAAATCAATAACCCCTGTCAGGAAGCTAAGGATTGCAGAAGTTGCTGTCTTCTCATTTTAAGATTTTAATTTTGGTTTCCAAACAGTGGTGTTAAACTGCAGAGGAAAGGACAAGCATTTCCATATCAGTTTACATTGGTAATTCATTATTCATGATGCAGAACTAGAGAGCTTAGCTGAAGGTCTTTGGGAGAGGTCTTCAGCAACACACCTAGAAGCTGGATAGTTAAGATGCTTTCAAGCCTTTCCAAGTAAAATATAACTTGCTTTTTTTTTAAAAAAAAAAAAAGGAAAAAAAGTTTGGCTTTTTTTTTTTTTTATATTAATTTGCTTCAAAGAACATTGTAAAGAGAAATTGAACATGGATTTGAGGTCTGGAAGTTACACTTGATGCAGAGGGTTTTATTATTATCATCACTAATGTTGTAATATGTTTGCTGCTGCAACCAAAAACTTTGTTAAACAGGTTGGTGATGGAGGAAGACTAGTTCCAGTGCCCAGTCTCAGTGAGGCTGATAAATACCAGCCTCTGAGCCTTGTGATTAAGAAAAGAAAGTGTTTGCTTTCAAAAAAATCTAAATTTGCATCAACACCTTTCACATTAAAAGACATTCTTCAAGGGGAGAAAGAAATTTCTGCAGGTAAGTTTTTGATCTTTCTTGAAAGCAGAATAATGCATGCTTTCCCCTAAATACAGACCAGTAGTTACGGCTTAGTCTGTACTGATAGTATGATGGTTCTTTAGTATATGTGTAATATAATGTATCTTGCTTCATCATATAATAAATATTTAGGAAAAAAGTATAAGTTAGATTGGTAAAACAAACAAACAAACAACAACAAAAAAACACAACTTCTGGAAGAAGTATAAAAAAGTCAGTTATATTTCAAAACCTTGATAGGAACTAATACACAACAGATTTAGTTAAGCTTTGTGTTTTTTTCCAAATCACAAGTTTCTGGAAGATGTACTAATGCATATTTATTTATGCATGTATGATTAATTGCTACTTAATATTTGCTTTTATTTTGCACCTTTCTTTATATTCTCACTTTTAAATATGTAACAATGAACTCAGTTTGGTATCTGTTTCATGCTTGTGATCTCATGTCTTGAACTAAGCTCTGCATAGGCAGAAACATTTGACAGCAGATATCTGACTGAAGTAATAGGATTTCTGTAAATTTTTTCCATGTTTGTAATCTTTTTCACATATCTAAAGAAGTAGCACTATTTAAATTGCTTTTGCTATGCAATGTCAGAAAGCTTTGAGAAGATCCTATGAGAATTAAGAGGTGCAAAATTGAACTATATTTTCTTGTACCTTCCTTTGAAAAGTCTATGCAATTTATAACAGCATATGTTTTCTCAAAACAGTTTTGTCACTTTGTTTTATTTTTTAAAATATATTTTTAAAAAGGTATTAATTACAAAACAAATGCAGTAACTAGAAACTCTAAGACAGCCAGTTTGTGCACAGGAAGACAGAGATGCCACCTGACTCCACAAAGAGGTGATTTCAGGATGAAAGCAATATGAAACAAAATTGGAATCCTACCAATCCTACTAGTCTTGCATTCAGGACAAGCCAGCTGAAAAAGTTGAAAAATCTCATTTAAGAAGTCAGAGGAAAAGTCTGAGTCAAAATCTCATTAAAAATCTCACAAAGCCTTTAGTCTTTTCTGTAAAGGTTAGACGTCATGTGTGGAAGGTTTTGTCCTTTAGTGTAAGCAAAGACATTTCTAATTGAATTTCCTTTTTTTTTTTTTTTTTTTTAATGTCACAAATATAAACATTTGAAATCTTTTTAACGTTATGAAAAAATATGTGAATTTTTTTGTTGTTGTTAGAAATAAAGACAAACAGGATTAACACTGGGTGGCTTTCTAGTGTCACTTTATCCTAAACGCTTCAAAGAATAAGACAAAAATTAATAAAACCTGGATTCTTCAATGTAGTTGGATGCCTAATTCCCTTATCTACCTGCTCTGTTCATATTAAGTTTTCAAGCAATGTGTTCTAATATTTTTTCTGGTAGTGTAATGGTATTTAAAGTTATGAAGAAAATGTTACATTATAACATATATTATATATAATAAGATGTTATAGCATTAAAAAATGTTTTGGAACCCACCCTTCTATTGTACAATAGAGCAATTTTTTTTTTTTTTATTATTATTTTTTTTTTTTGCGTAAATCAGAATTAATCTGTTTTCCTTCAGATTAAATTGACACACTTTAGAATGACTAGGGACACACTGAAAGTGTGGCAAGACATTCTGATTGTGACCTATCAGGGAAAAAGGCAAAGGTAATATTACTGGCAGATCTGCACTTTAAACATGTATTGCAAAAATGGAAAACAATGTAAGGTTCATTTGTACTACATCCAGAAATTTTTAGAATTTCCTAACATTATTTTACAAGGAAAATATGTAAATGCAACTTTAAAAAAATAATTTAGTTCTTCAAAAAATTAGAAAAAAGGAAAAATTACCTGTGTATTTTATACACAGGTAATGTTTATATGTATATATATTACTGTATAGTAAGTCTTCACAATGACTTGTTATGCACCAGAGCTGCGCTGAAGTTATTAGTAAATGGACATGACGTGTATCCACCATGTTGGCTTTCTCTTTATTCCTAGTTTTCATATTCTGTGCAGTCTTCATTAAATCATTTTGTTTGTGTTTCAGAGTAATGTGTTTCAATAAACCTTTAAACACATTGCATATCTTTTTGTTCTATATCTCCTGATAAAGGAGAATAGCGCTAAGCACAGAAATGCAGAAATACTCCTAATCACCATTTCATTCTTAAGATATATTCCATGTGGGACTCTGAGCAAAACTCTGCCAGTGAGAGGTACAGAGATCCCTCAGACCCCACGCATTCTCTTTGCGTTAATCATCAGTAGTAGCACTGACAAATAAGCACATAATGGAGCTGTGAATTTTATATCAAAATTGTGAAGTATAGTAAGAACAGTGCACTTTATTATTTTCTTTACATTTATTCTATACAAATTTAAAATAATTAAAGTGTCCTGTTAAAAGTATATAACATTATGTAAAAGTACTATGTTCAGATCTTCATCACACAATGGTTATCTTCTTTTACTCAGGTGTCTCATCTTACCAGTTGCTCAATTATGAAGACAAATCGGATGTTACACTCAATGGTAGAAGAGGAAATCAGATAATGAACGATGTTGGTTTTGATGTTGCTGGATCAGATTCTGTTGCCTTTAAAGCTTCTTTTGGCATAGTGACCAAACATGAAGTTGAAGTACCGACATTACTTAAAGAACTCACTACAAGGTTATATTATAAATATATATATATATTTTTCTAGTTCCATAGTTATATTTCATACAGTTAGGTTGAATCTCTGAAAAAAATCTATTAATACAAAAAAGGGTTAGGTTTTGGTTATTTTAGGCAATAAATAGCACTCACCATCAGATATTTTCCAGGTTTCTCGTATGACTAACAAGTCTCAGATTAAATCACTGCAATTAGACACATGACCTCCAGTATAACAGGGGCTATAGAATTTATCAGAATTAATTCTTGTTTTAATTATAGTGCATCTTCCAAGAAAAAAAGAAAAAAAGTCTAGAGAGGACGAGTCCATCAAAGATCCTATGTATTAAATTCCCTACTACTGCAAATTTGAAATTTACTTCAAATAACATTAGGAAGAAGAGATCCTCATCTGCTGATAAAAACAAACAAACAAACAAAAATTCTGTGTTATATGACTAAGAGCCAGTGCCTGTAGAGATTCTCCTAGAAACACATTTGTTTGATGATCATTTCATGTTCATACTTCATATAGTATATTGCAGTTATAGTTCATACACATCAGCTAGTTTTTAATCCATTCAGGGTATGCCAGCTTCTATAGTTATCATTTTAGATTTCTAACCAAAACTTTCCACAATTATAAGCTTTATGGAAGCCCAAAGGTAGAGTATTAAAGTTATTACTTATAAAATTCATAACTGTATTACTAATATACAAGATATATATAATATAAAATTTATTGATTATACAAGAAGCTTTGCAATTTGCTAATAATCTCTGAATGTCCTCCTTGTCTCCTTCTTGATTTTAGAAAAATAAACTTTGATCACTGTCTAGTACATCAATCAAGAAAAAGTAGGATGGAGATTCTGTGCGTGGTCATGGAAAGTATTAGGACTACAAGGCAGTGCTCATTGACTGTCCATACTGGAATGCGTGGAGAAACCATGAGGGTAAATATGTTTTAGGATAAATAAAGTTCTGTAACTCGAACAGGCAAACAATAAGCTCATTATTATAGATTTTATGGCTGGATTTAATTGTATTTTTACAGAAGTAAGCTTAGAAAAATTCTAAAGTGAATTTATGTTATCACACTGATGTAAAACTGAATAACTTCTTTATTTGTATTGTTTATGTGAGTAAGCTAAGGAAAATGCATAAAAGGATGGCTAGACAATGAGACATTGTTTTGGGTGAAGTCTCGGCAAAAATGTGGAAATTCCTTCTTTTCAGTTTGAAACTCTGATAATCATAAATCTTTTATTACTATATACATCTTCTATAACTCATTACAACTTCAGGTTGTTATTATTTCAAAGATTGGCATCTCACTCCCTGTCCCATTTCTGCTCCCCCCCCTTGCTGTCATCAATATGTTTGAATAATTGAAACTTTGAATCTTCTGAGGTTTGTCCATTGCTAGCGTTTATAACATTCACACAATTTTTGGTGACTGATGCAAGTTAAGTTACTGTCTCTGTATAAATGCAACACTGATAGTATGAAATTCTTTACTGATGAAATTTGATCTTCAGTTTCAGAGCTTCCTCCTGGTATAATAGTTCTCAATATATACAATTAAGATGTTGTTTATTTTTTATTTCTTTTTTTTTCTTTTGATGATTTTCCAAATTATAGTTTCACATTATTGAAGACCAAAATTATAAAGGACGGGACAAAGCCATTGTTTTTCCTGCACATACAACAATTGCTTTTAGTGTGTTTGAGCTTTATATTCATTTGGATGGTAATTTTGGTAAGTTGTGCATTATTGTCATTACTGTCATTTTTTAAAGTGGTTTGAGGTTTTTCAACAGTTTTCTTGTTCTTCATTTACATAAGCCTCAATCCCATAAAATGGGCATGCCTTAATTTTATGAACATAAGTAGTCTGAATTTCTGGGGAAAATGGTTATTACTGAAAAGATTAACAAAGCAGGTAGTGGAAAATACTTTGCCATGGAAATAGTTTTAAAACTTAAGTTTTACTGTTTTGTTTTGGTTTGGTTTGGTTTGGTTTGTTTTTTTACATCCCCCATGTTCCACTTGCAAGGAACAAAAAATCATTTATTTATATATCGAGACTTTTATGACCATCTGAACACTTTCATAAAATGGGAAAGTAAAAAGACCTAAGTAAAGAAGAAAGTGTGCAGAACTTTTAAGCAAAGCTAAGAATTTTTGTTGTTGTGGCTGTAATTTCATTCTGATATATCATTACATGTATAGCTATCTGAAGATTTACAAAGAAATAGAATTACTGAAATCAAATATGGAAAACATTATGAAGCTCCTGTAAATTTGTCTCCTTTTGGAGAAAGGATAGAGTTTATATTTTTACATTATTTACACTAATTAATGTGTAGCCTGTAATGTTATTGGTGTTGTTTGCAATAAAGCAGAAATTCAATTTTAGGATTTGATCTAGAACTTGGTAAAACCAAATAATGTTAGATTGTGTTTCAACCACCAAATTTACATGTACTTAAATACAGGGACTTTTGTGAGAGTTGCTAAATTGTTTCAGGAGCTTCTTAACTCTGATTATCATTGTGGCCTTTTTAAAATAGCAAGACAAAAGATTAGGGAAGTTCTGTACCTCTGCAGGTACCTCTGCAGATCTCTACAGCAGTACCAGTTTTAGAATTTGCAAATAGCTCTGTATTCTTTGGCACATGCAGTATTCAAATTCTATGACAGGAACTTTGTGTTTTAAAGCACCTTTTTACTGAGCAGTGAAAGAACTTCACTGTAAAAACTTTAAATACACTCCCAATCAGGCTTAATTACTGGATTAAAAGTAGAAGAGAGAATACAGTACAGTAGTTCTTTATATTCAATTCCATAAAACATTAACTTCAAATTCTGAAGTGCTTTGATTTTATTTTACCTGTATGTAGTGGTAGGTACAAGCACAAGAATAACGTTTTAGCTAAGTCATTGAAATCATCAATGAAGCTGATGTCTATCTAACTCAATTAAAAATAATTATCAATTGAAGTCCTGCTTTTTCAGTTCCTTGTAATTGATTATCCATATATTTTGCTTTCAAGTTTTTCTTTCAAGTTATGGATAGAAACTAATGTGATATTTATTTTCATTTCAAAAAAATAACTTTTGGCAGTTGAATCTCCATTGGAAGAGAGGACTATAGATCTTGCACCCTTGCTTATAAGTTCTTATTTTTAGTTTCAAATGAGTCTACAGAGATTATGGAGATATTCAGAAGCAGGAGCTCCATCAATATGATTTAAGGAATTAACCTTTAACGTGGGCAGGAATTGCATGAAAAAAAAAACTATAAACAAACTGATGATGTATGTTGGAAACCATGAATGTTTAAAAAATCCTATTGAATGTTTCATTTGATTCTGTGTGTTATTGCTGTGTGCAGACTTGTATTAGACAGTGGTACTAGCCTTTACAATTTTTAGCAAAGCTGAATTTAATAACTGCTAGCTTCATCAACCTATTATAGGTTAGAAAAGCATATTAAATTGTGTTGAACAGCTATTGCTTTTATGTTGCATTTTTCTAATAGCTTATGTTTCATTTTTACAGAACTATGTGTGACTCCAATTTCAAAAGGAGGATTTGAAAAAGAGAAATCCACATCATCCTCAATGAACAAATTAAGGATGTTAAAGAGTAATCTATTTCATCGAAGTACGGTTTTTGATATTTATACACAAATGTCTTAGTTAACGCATGAAGAGTAGTTATTTGTTTCTTTAGTTTGTGTGCAAGATGAACGTTAAAATGAGAAAACTTCAGTGTAAAATGTACTCCAATTTCTTATGTACTGATTGTCAAGTTATGACAGAATCTTTTTCACAATAACAAATTTATGGTGTTACTGTTCATTAAAACTAAATATCTTAAAATATATAATAGTCCATGGCTGATGATAAAGTGGTATTGAGTAATTACACAACTAATCAGTTAATATTAACCTTATTTCATATGTTTGCAATTTACATAGAGCATTATGCAATACAAGTTATAAATAGTATTGCAGGGCATACTTTTTATGACTAATTTTAAGTATCAAACAATTTAAATATTAGAATGTACTCTTTAGGCTATATCTTCATGTAGCAGGGATATCGGCATGATAGCATCATAGTTCTCTTTCTCATTCTGATACGAACACAACAGCCAACAACGCTAAGTGTCACTTTATGTAGGTAGCTATGTCTTCTTTGGGATATCTCTGACTATATTACTCAAATCTGGGGATTTGTTCTAGTGAATGTAGCCTGTTTATTTATTTAAGATTTCTTAGTCTAATTGTTGTGGAAAGCCGCAAATCTGAAAGTGAAGATAAACCTTAAGAACCAAAGACATCCTTCTAAAGGCTGTTCTGTCCATGTGTCCTTGCTCCACCGTATCCCATTCTTGATCAAAGGACATTTATGGACCAAGCCTTCAGTTCTGCTCCAGTATTATGCTAAGAGAGCAAATCTGTGGGTATGCTATGTATTGCTAGTTTTGGCTGTTTAAAAGTTGGTCATCTTATCTAAACTAAGAAGAAATGAAGAAAGAGGAGAAAAGTGGGTCAGTCTGAGAGTGACTTCTCCCTGGGGTGTTTGGATGCTCAGAAGTCTTCTAAGACTAGGACTCAGCATAGAGTCCTCCAAATTTTCTAAATCCTTTAAGCGTTTTTTTTTTTTTTTTTTTTCTTCTTTTTCATTAAATAAACAGAATTAACAATTTTTAGAAAACAAAATTTGAAAAACTAAAATGAAAATGTTTAAACAGGAAAGTACACAGCTGTGATTTGGCGATTTGTGATTTGTGATTGATTAGGTGCATTTCTAAAAAAAATAAATTACAATTATACTATACTGGTCATTTGTAAAAATAATTCCAGCTTCTGCCAATGTCTTTTGTGAAAATAAAGGAAAACTTTCATCATGCAGGGCTTTTGATAAGAAGTCATCTCTGGTGACATGTTTAGAACGGTTTCATGAATCAGTTGTCATTTCCATCAGTAGATTTACAGATTGTTTTGTGAACAGTTCATCATGTAATGACAAAACACTGCTCTTTTTTTTGTGTGCCTTCTTTTTCAGATAAAAGAGTAGTGGATACCATCGCTAACTCTGATGGTTACTTGGAGGACCTTTTTACAGACTACTATGAAAAATCTGCAAGCCTGACCAATCTCTCTACAAGCTATCTCAGAGAAGGGGCTCATATCCGGATTAATTTACTTCATAATAACATCACGAAAGGTCCCTGCGTCCTTTGTGGAATGGGAAGTTCTAAAAGGGAGACAGTCTATGGATGCCTAGAGTGTTCTTTTAATGGACAAAAGTATGTACGACTGCATGCTGTGCCCTGTTTTGACCTCTGGCATAAGAGAGTGAAGTAACTGATGTAGGTAAGTGCCTGTTGTAGACATGGGCATAAATAACTGTGCCACAAACTTTACACAATTAGCAAATGTGACTCATTTTGTTTAAATGCAAAATACTGAAAGTGCAAAACTTTTTATAACACTATTATTTTCAAATAATTTGCTTCACAATGACCTTAATTACTTGAAAATGTATGCATTCCCTGACATTTTGATTTTCTTTTTTCTAGTACTTTCTCATTGTATTATCATAATTAAAAATGTGCTTTTAAACTGTATTTTCATAATGTCAAAATATATGCTAGGACCTACCTATAAATAAGTTGTTTACATAAATTTGTTGTTAAACCCCCAAACGTTGCCTTTATCTACACTGGAATAGAATGGTAAAATGAGAATATTTGTTAATAATTTAGTGTTCTCATGAATCTTTCATTGAAGTATCAGATTAAAAAACATGCTAAAGCTTAGCTCTGTCTAATGTTTCATTCACAAAAGGGAACTAAAACTGGTGATGAGAGTTTCATAGTTGAGTGTCTTTACGTACGAGGTACAAGCCAGTCTACCTTTTTTGAGTTTGTTTTTAAGGTCATAGCTGCTCATGACTTTCATACCATTTATGTGTTCAGAAAAAAAGTGTTTAGCCAGAAACATTTATGAAAGTTACAAAGATAACAGAACTAAATCCTTCCAACCAGACTTCTGCCTGAAGGTCTTCAATCTATAGACCTCATCTATGAGAAATTAAGTTTGTGATGTTAAGAAAATATACTCCAGGGGGCACTAGAGACTAGCACCCAATACAGAGATTGGGAGTGCTGTTCAAACCTTCCCCATGGTATGTTAAAAGACAATTAAATTTTATATGTATGTTTTATCATGGTTTTAAGATAAGTCAGTCATATATAGAAATCTTTTTACCTAGGCTGCCATTTTGACTGTGTATATCTCCTTATTCCATGTTGAAATAAATGAAATAAACGACCATTTTTCTCAATAGAAAGGTACGTTACGCAAGTGTTGTGATGGCAGCTACATACGCAGAACAGCTCATTAAGCGCAAGTGCTGTGTATTAACTGTCAGTGTTACTTTGCATTTTTCCAAAGTGAGGGAAAACAGATTCATGCCCAGATAATTACCTTATATAGAATATCTCCTATCATCTTCCACCTCATTCAAATAAAATATGATATTGTAGATTTTCAACATTGTGCTGCTGAACAATCTGGCTAACTGCATTAGTAATTTTATTACAAAGTTTAAAAATTTCCTTGAAAATACTGTATTTTCATAAACACCAAACTTCAACTTAATATTACAAAGAGGGTATTTTAAGTTGATTTAAAAACATTTGTGTTTTTATGTTGAAATTCCACAGACAAGATTCATTTGTTTTAAGGCTTTTTATAGATAAATTTGCTGCAATGGCCAATGGCCTATGCAGCGTTTTAATGGAGTTACCTTCCTGGAATTGTTTTTTCCTTTTATTTTAAAGGGACCTTATAAGTATTCATCCAGTTATTTTCTCATTTTGTCAACAACTACTAGAACTTTTTTTTTTTTTGGTGACTGACAGAACAGAAACAATTATTTTGATCAGTAATTTACACATTAAGGAAGACAACTGAGCAATAGTGTAGATTAGGAAATGACAAATTAGTAACAATAGCTCTTGTTGTGTTCCAATTGTATTTATTTCTTTTGCAACACCTAACACATTTTATTAGTTGAGTGTTAAAAATAAGATTTTTACAGTCACCTTAGATATAAAAAGATGCCACTATAAAAAAATACAAAAGATTTTGCGATGAAATATTATTTAGGATTTTTTTTTTTTAATTCAGTGTCCAGAAAACAGCCAAAGATTTTATGAGTGCTTAGAGTTCATCATGCTGGTAGACATTGTACTCCTTTGCTGATATGAAACCATCGCCATCATGGTCATTCTTCTTAAATATATCAGCTAAGATTTCATCATGTGCTGAGGGGTGACGTTTTTTGCCATCTCTTGCAAATTCTTCTTTCAAATACTGGCTTATCTAGAAGAGAAGAAATAAAAAATCAACTGTTGTGGCTTTTATATCAGTCCTCAGCAGCTATCTATCTTTAAGAGCATTATCATATATGTGTGAGTTACTGTGACTGCTGTGCAGATTTCTGAAGTTTCTCTCCTACCAAGTTTGGGACTATTAATATATTAAAGCAAATATGTACATCTCACTGTACAGTTTGTGTAAGTATACAGAAGCTTTACATGATGAACTGAAAGAGAGGTAACTACTGTTAATGCTGATAAAGTATATCCATAATTGTATAATCTATTCCAAATTCGTTATGCCACATTACCTCGAGTTCAGAGAGTTTCCTGTCACTGTCCTTGTCTATTTGATTAAATGCTTCAACACTGCGAGGTCCCTTATTTACTGCATAAAGTTCAATCTCAAAGATCAATGTTGCATTTGGTGGAATCTTGCCCTGTGCTATGAATAAAAGAAAGAACACATTTAAGAGATCAAAAAAAATGTTCAGTGATCACACATATGGTAAATGCACATGTAAATTGTCTTATTTTTCCTACTACAAAAGACTGTTAATATTCAGATTAAACTCTGGATTTAAATATTACACAGCTAGACAGGACGATTGTTCATGTTCTGAAAAAACAGGAGTGGCATGCATTGAGCAGGTAACTGTGTTACACAAATGACTTCAAGAGAGATTTACAAACAATATACGTCCCCAAAACAAAATTATATTGATCATATCAATTCAGGTACTTTTAAAAATGAAGATGTATATCATTTTGAGAAGAGTTTGTGTGTTGTGAAAAATAGCTATTTCTGAACTTCTCACTATTTCACATACTGTCTTATGATGGGGCTTATTGAGAGATAAATTCTATGATGTTTAACTTTATTTAATATTTGTAATGTGATTTAAATGATTACTGTACTAGGCTGACACTCGTATGTATTTTCTTTCTGAAGAAACAAGCAGGTAATATCAGGTTTTACAAACTTACTATGAATTATATCTATGGTTAAAAGGACATTATGCAAAATGGTGATTTGAATATGCATCTCACTAGAAAGAAGCAATAATGTGTAATTGAACTGATTCACCAAACCAAACCAAAACAACAACAACAACAAAGAGAACTACTTGAATATTTTATCTGGTCTCTAGTAAAAAGATACCGAAACATGTTAGACACTGTTATTCCTGTGTCAGAGCATTTGCCTGTAAGCATAGATCATTGCATCATGCATCTGGCTAAAACAGGAACTGGAAGAGACAAGAATAAATTAATGAGGTCTGAAAGTAAAGCCAAAAAAGCATCTAGAAATTGTGCAGTGTAAAATTAAAATGTAAACATGCAAGCTGTTTCTATTCGTAGCCAAAGCTAGTGAGCATGACATTGTAACCTCAGAATTTTGACAGAATTTTGAGCTTGTGACCATCTTTCATAAACTTGTTTATAAGCACAAGGCAAACAAAACTATTACTTGCACTTCTCATCTAAAATATCTGTATAAAAAATGACATGCTTCAGAGTTCAAAAGATTTTAATCTTACAAGCTTGAATGTGTAGAAGTTTTAAATATATCTGAACATATGTCATGGTTTATATATTATCTACTAAATAAAGATACAGTACTAGAATTCAGTGCCTGTAGTTTACAAATATACATACCAACAAAAGAAAGACATGTAAAGATTTAGAAAGCCACATGCATCTTTTCTAATTCAAGATTAGGCAGGCATCTTCCCCAACATGCAGGAATACGCTGAGACAGAGGACAAGTATACTGTAGGAAAGCAGTATTTTCTTGAAGTGCTACCTAGAACAAACAATGCTAGTATTAGATTTAAAGAATGTATTTTTGTATCAGTGTTTTTCCTTATTGTTACAAGACTTTTTTATTAAAACATTACACTCAAGGGACAACAAATTATTCCTACTAAACTTCATTGGCTAGAACAGAATTGTATCAAAGACAGAACCAGTGCACGTGATTCTAACACAATACCATTGCCAAATAATTACTACACAGCAGGAGCTACCTTTTCAGAGAAACTACTACACCCAAGCCAGAGCTGAATTTAATTTATCTGCAACTGAGTACTGACACTGCATAATGCTCTTACTTGAACATTTTTTTTAAATGGACTGCACACTTAAGCATCATAAGTTCATACCTGATTTCAGAGCAATAAAACAAAGCAAAGACAAAGTTTAGTATTTAAAATCTTTTTTTTTTTTTTACCGTATCCTTGCTGTCCATATGCTAATGATGGAGGAATGATCACTTTCCGTTTTTCTCCAGGACACATATTCATCATAGCGATATCTAAACCTTTTATGACTTGTCCAACACCCAGAACGAACCATTTTGGATGACCTTCATTTTGCGTCCGACTATTAAAACAATTGTGAGTGGATAACAATTAATTTAGCATTTGTATTTTTTAAATGACTTTAAATTAGCAGTTGGTAAAAGCATGCATTAAATTATTTAAACGCAAGAACATTTAGAATGCAAGAATATCCTAAGTATTAACGCTATTTTTCTGCTACACTCACAATTTATTTAAGGTCAAATCTTGATATGTGTAAATGGTAACCTCCATTTGAAATCACAGGACATGTAAAAAACTAACTTCTTACTAAAACCATTCAATCCTCCTGATGAGATAGGCTGCATGCAAAGTGTTACTTCAGGAAGTCTGTGAGAGGAGAGTTGGGATGAATTCACTGCTGTGAACTGAGAACAACTTCAGCTGCTCACGATGGGATGGGATGGGATGGGATGGGACGGGACGGAGCACGCTACTGAGTGTTGGGGGAATGTGGAAACCTTGGCTACAGTGCTGTGTGCTCACCCGCTGCTCTGTTCACTTACAGCAGTGTCTGAGCCAGCTTCCGCTCAAAGGCGTCCCTCCTATGGGAGCTACACTGAGCTGTGAATGAGCAGCTCAAAAGTCAAAGGGCAGCACTAAATGTGTCAAAATTAGACACTCCAACAGGAAAAAAGTGTCAGTAAAATGGCAGTTAAATGTAGCATTATCCTCTATGGATTTTTTCTTAAATAATGCAAGGGAGGGGATGAATCAAGGTTGGGTAATAAACTAGGCCCATCAATGCCAGCCAGATCTGTGATATATGGGCAAGCAACGAGCCTGATGCAGGAGGACTTCCCCTCTGCAGCTCTGCACAGCGAGTCCTGCCACTCTCGGCAGGATGCACCAACAAGAAAAGCAAGGCACTGTTAAAACTAAGACTAAAAATAAAACGAAGCTTTTGCACAACGGCTTCAGCAAAACGCGCAGAGGCAGCCTGCTGAGGGATGGACGGGACGTGCACGCTCAAACAGCAAGATGGGTGCGAGGAGGAGAGCCCGACAGCCGCCATGCCAACCAGGCAGAAGCCTGCACTGACATTTCTGTCCAAAACGACTTATTTCCAGCAAACCGCCACGCGCTGGTTTCAGAAATCCTTCAGCGCTCAGCTTAGGGGTAAAAAATAGAAAATAAAAAAGGCTTTGTGGGGCGGGGGGGGGGGGGGTTAGGGAGGGTATTAATGTCAGCAGACGCTGCCCCAGCTGCCCCGCCGCCCACCTGCAGTAGAACTTGGAGCCGTCGCTGGCCAGGAAGCCGTCGTAGTGCGCGTTCAGCAGGTCCCCCTTCTTGCTCTTGGGGCTGCAGCTCTCGGGGAGGTGCAGCACCTCTATTTTAACCTCCTCCGCCGCCGCCGCGACGCCCTCGGCCCGCGCCGGGGCCGGGGCCATGGCGAGGAGGCGCAGCAGCAGGATGGGGACCAGGATCATGTCGCGGCCCATCTCGCTCCGCGCAGGCCGCCGGCGTGGCACTGCTGCAGCAGGGCCGGCTGGCTGTGGGCGGGCCGGGCCGGCTCCCGGGGCCGGCCCCAGGAAGCGAGGGGGACGGCTGGGAGCGCCCGGGGGGGGGCGCGCATGGGAGGCGCGGAGCGCCCCGCCGGCCGGGTGGCGCCGCCGGGGCCGCCGCCGTGCCGGGGCTGGGTTGAACCGAGCCGGGCCGAGCCGGGCCGGGCCGGGCCGGGCCGGGCCGAGCGGCTCCGCCTCCGCGCAGGGAGCAGCGGCGGGAACGGGAGGGGAGCGCCCATCCCCGCAGCGGCGGCGGCGGCGGCGGCCGCGCTTTCCCCGCGGCGGCGCAGGAGGATGCGGGGCGGCGCGGGGCTGTGAGCGATGGAGGGGGCCCTGTACAAGTGGACCAACTACCTGGCGGGTAGGCGCCGCGGCCGGGGCCGGGGCCGGGCCGGGGCCGGGGCCGGGGGCGGCTCGGGGCGGCCGGGCCTGCGGCGCGGCGGAGCCTGCGTGAGGGGCGCCGGGCTCCGGGCAGCCGGGGCCGGCGGGGGCTGCGGGCTGCGGGCTGACAGCCGGGTCGGGGGCTCTGCCGGGCGGCCCGCGGGCGGCCGCTGCCCCGTGCGGCTCGTTGCGGCTGTCGCATCCTTCCCCTCCATCTTATGCTTGCGGCGCGCAGCCCGGCCGGTGTCCCCACGTGCGGCTGAGGCGTCAGGCAGGGCTCGGTCTTTAAATATTGGGTGCTAAAGGCTTGCCGAGCCTGGGTTCTCTTGGTTCGGCCTGGGATGGTCGTTTTTTGGACTTTCTGCGACTGTATCCTAACCTGTGAAATACGCAAACAAAGTTTGGTTCTGGAGGACACGTTCTGGGTAAATGTGTTTTGTGAAGTGCTGTGGGCAGAAGCGCACTAAAGGCCTGCGTTTGCTGTCAGAAGTGTTTGGTTCTCCCTCTGTCATAGCAGAGCCGTCACCTCCCCCCGGAGACAGCAGTGGACAGGCTGTACTTCCAAGGGGAAGAAGATTCCTCTTTGATGCTGTACTTGTGGCTGTAGAGCAGATCAGAGCCGGATCACATACTGTGCCTCACCAGGCCTCTTCGGTGGTTTTGGCAGTCCGTCCGTGCCTTCTTTGCCCTCTTGGTCTTCGTCTGCGCTGTTTTTTTAAGTTTGGTGAATTCAGGTGTTGAATGCGGAGTGGTGTAAAACTCAGTTCTGAGCATTTATAAAGTGCAGGCCTCACACTAGAAGGATTGTGTGCTTGCTTGGAATTGAAATGTACGTAGTTTTGTATTTTTCAGAGGAAATCCACATCCAGGTATACTGGCCTTCCAGTGAAAGGATTCCATTCTTGTGCTGGAATTAAATAGCTGTTAGATTAGATGTTTTGGTCACTTCACAGTGAATGCGGGGAAATAACATAGTGGAAAAAAAAGTGGCTAAGTATGAAAATGACTGCAAATTTCTTTTCAAAATAGAATGGTGTTTTTCACTTCCATTTTTTTGTGACCAGAAGTGCTTCAGTGAAAGGTAAAAGGTCATGGGTAATGAACCTTTGTGGTGTTTGGTAAAAACTTATATGCAGCTAACTTCTACTAAAAGTCAGCAGCCCTCCAATATACTGAACTGCAGAGCCCTTCCTTCCATGTGTGTTGCCCAGCTGACAGCATCTGCTCCAGTTGCATTTGGAAATTATAGTGTCAGAAATACCCAAGAACTTTCTGAATATGAGGGAAACTTTTTTTTTTTTTTAAAAAAAAGCATATCAGTGAATTTTTTTAAAGTTGTTATCAACTTTCTTGTTACTCTCGTACATGTTTTTGTAGCCAAAAATAGGCTGTGGTATTTGTGGTACTATTTACAGTAGAAGCCAAGCAGCAAAGGAGCTTGTTATTGTTGCTTGTGGAAAACATTATTTAGTTTCCTCCTTCTTACTTAAATAATAGATGTTCATCTAAGGACTTGTGAAGGAATTTATTAAATATTTTGTTGAACACAGGAAACCCTATTTGCCCAAATTCAAGTAAGAAGTGGCTTTATTCTTTTACTTGCTTCTGTGAGGCACCGAGGTCTTTTAAATCCCTTGTGGATGTTTTTTTTCAAAGCTAGCATAATATGAGGCTGAATTAATCATCCACATAGGGTCCCTTTTTATCAGAATAACCCTGTTTAGAAAGGCATTGACATGGGCATGCACTTAGGAGATAAGGACAGTGCAGAGTCAATGTTTTGCAACACAACATAGCTTAAAATAAACATGAGCACGTTTCTGAGCTGCCTTTTACACGACGGTGTCTTCCATACAGTCATTTTATGGCAGTTTGCATATTACTTTATTGTAAGTTGTACATATAACTTAAAATCTTTCCCATGGGAACTGGGGTTCCTTGGTGTTTTTACTTTTTTTTTTTCTTTTTTTTTTTTTTTGTGAGAATGTGGATCTACTTATTAATTACTCATCTGCATTTTGAATGATAAAGATGTTTACCATTATAGCTAAAAAATAATATATAATAATAATTAAAAAAATAAAGTTATGCATTATAATTTCCTTATCCTGGAACTCTGACATGATGTGATGTGGTCTGGTCCTGCACTTTCTGAATTAGTGTTAAAATTGGTAATGACTGCACGTGAGCAGTGTGAAGCCTCTAGTGGATGCCTGAGGAAGCCTCCGGTGTTAGAGCGCGGTGCTGCTGGGTGGCTGCTGCTTGCTCTCTCGGGATGACAGGATGGTGAACACCGCGGACCACACTGTCATATCGCCAGATGTGTCGAGTTCTTGGCTGCACAGCTACTGCTGTTCTGAGCCATAAGCCAAGCAGGAAAGTATACACTTGGTCTCCAGTTGTAAAATAGAGGGAGAGTCTGCTCCCATCGTCTAGCTGACCCAGGCTGTAATAGGCCTGAGCGCTTGCTATCTTCTACTGGAATGTTTTAGTTCTAGGTTGTTTTTAGAAACCAAGGTGCTTTGCTAGGCAAAAACATTAATATCTGGTAGTATTAAAAAATAGAGTACCCATCCACTGAGTGTTAAGCTTTATGAAATAGCTGTAAAATAAATTAAGAGATAAATGATTGTCAAGGCCCTCTCTAATTAAAATAAATCAGCATTTCTACTTGGTGTAATGCTGCATAGAGCTCTCAAAGAGAGTTGCATGTGCATGTGTAAGCTGCTCTCTTTTGTAGACATAATGAAGTCAGAGATCATTAAACAGTTTTGCTGATGTAAAGCTGGTGAAAACAGTAGTAGGGGAGCTGGTCCTCACAAGTGGACTCTTAGTAATGTAAGCCATGTCTCAGTTCCCAGCACAACTCCTGCTGTTAAATTGTTGACAGTGGAGCTGGGCTACTTTCAGAGAAAACAGTATGTCAGTAGTTAAGTGTAAAATATAGACATTTTCACTGAAATACAGGAGGCAGAGAGAGGCGAATGAACAGAGCAGTTTGTGACGACAGTCATTTATTTCTGGGACTACAATCTAAAGGAAGTCTGCCTGAAAAATATATTTAAAAAAGGATTTTTCTTCAGAGCTATGCGATTTATCAGTCTTCAAAATGGGATTCCGTAGAGGCTAAATTAAAATTTTATTTTGCGGTAGAATGGAATATAGTGAACACTGAAATACTGCCAACCTTTCATTTAAAATGAATGGGAATAAAATAGCTGTATAATACTGGTTTGATTGTAGAGCAGCTCTGGTCTTCGGTACTCAGATTCTTTACTTCCTGGTGTGTCATGGGAGTAGTGTAATGTTTGCATCTTTTGTAAAAGTTTTAGCAGCCAAAGAGCTGAATTTAATTTGAAATTCAGTAATTAGACTAAACGTTCTTTTTCCTGTTTTTGATCTTGCTAGGTTGGCAGCCTCGGTGGTTTGTTTTAGACAATGGGATATTGTCGTACTATGATTCACAAGATGATGTTTGCAAAGGCAGCAAAGGAAGTATAAAGATGGCTGTGTGTGAAATAAAAGGTAAGAATTATGTTTCTGCTAGAAGAAATTTTAGCTGTCAGGGAGACAAGATCACCAATTTTGCATCACAAACTTCTCTCTCTGTATTTGTGTTTTCATAGTCCAATGTCATCGCTTCATAGTTTACAGATAATAATGAAAGTGAATTAGGAATTGGAGACAAAGAAAAATGTTTTTGACACTTGGAGCTCTTTTTTTGAGATTTAAAACTCATCATATTATATGAATATAATGGACTGTAAATGGAGTCCACCTCAGTTCTTGTTTCTAGGACTCTCTAAATATTGTCCTTGTAACAAAACTCTTCAGTTTCCCGTATTTAGATTGGGGTTGGAGTATAAAAGTTACTACAGATTCATGCAGTGAATTCTTGATGCAGTAAGGGAACCCCATTTTACTTGAGTGTAGCCATTGTTTGTTTAGTGTCTGTTATTCCTGCCTTTTCACTTGAGGGCATGGGCTTTCTGTTATTTGGCAGCAGCACATTGTGATTTACTGTATTACTGTGGTGTACTGTATTGCTAAATACTTTGATTTGTTTTTAATAAATAATTGTTACCAGATTGTATGTTGTTTGTTTGTTTGTTTGTTTTTTTTCAAAGTTGTTCTTTTATTCTTCTCTATCATAAGTTCATGCAACAGACAACACCAGAATGGAGCTAATCATCCCAGGGGAACAGCATTTCTATATGAAAGCAGTTAATGCAGCTGAAAGGCAGAGGTGGCTGGTAGCACTGGGGAGTGCAAAAGCCTGTTTAGCAGATACTAGAACAAAAAAAGAAAAAGGTATGTGTGTTACCTTGAGCATGCACAAGCTAACCACTTTTTCAAATGTTTGTTTTCGGGTAACGATAGCGCAAATGTTGTGTTAGAAATTGAGTACTATTGTCTTTAAAATATGAACTGTAATTATTCCTAGTCATCTGTAATGTAAATTTCCCCATGATGTATGAACTGTGCTAGCAAATGATGCAAATCACCGTGTTACATAGTCTGTTTTTGACTTTATTTTGCTGATCATAGGCGTTATCACTTCTGTGTTTTCTGTATTGCCTTTCCATTTTGGATTTCTGTGCTGTCTTCAGATTTGTCCTGCACTTCA